ATAGAACGTAGACACGGGCTTGAGCAAAGCAATATATATATATGACATTCAAAATATATATATGTCAGTTGTCAGATCTTTTTTTTGACAAAACATAAAATGGCCTATGAAGCACTGGGCTCTTAGATATAATGTTGGTACATACTCTTAGTAGGCCAAGTTTTATTATTAATTTGTTAGTTAGCATCTTGATCACTAGTCTAGCTAGTGAGGACAAAGTATCAAACCCACTGCTCAAAAAAAACGTTTTTGGTTTTGTTCCTGCGGATGTTCTTTCAGCAAAACGGTGTATGTCTTGTGCTCTGTTTTGAGCAGTGGGTTTGATACAAAGGTCAAGAGGAGTCAGGAGGAGGAGGTAAACTCAATACAAATATTTTATATATTGGCATGGATTCACTTTACTATGCCTCAAGTTCTATTTTCTTGAGTTAGCTTCATATAGTTGTCATACAAAATGTTGTGAATTCAGATGAAGTTTGGATAATATCTCCAAGCGTAATTAAACAAGTGCAAAATGAATGTTGTGAATATAGATGAACTTTGGATGATATCTTAAATCGTAAGCATGAACAAAACAAATTGAGGCGAATTTTCTTTTTCCTCCAGAGCTTCTTTTCTGATTAAATCGTGTGAATAAAAAATTACAAACCCTAAGACATTCTTAAACACAAAATGATACATTGATATGGCCCAACGTGTCAGATGCGTGTTGTAGGAGATGAACTATCTATTTTAAGAAGAAGATAAAACAAATATATGCATTGACAAAAGGATCAAAGCTGGAAGAAAGAAAACATATAAGGTGGATGAGTCAATTTTGGATAGAGAAGGACATGTCCAATTGCATAGTAGTATATGCACTTTTAAATCATTTTCTTTCTTTCCATTTTCCACGTTTTGTGCTTGAAATGGGTTTCTTATTCTATATCAAGATTGCCAGATTGGTCAAGACTGCAACACTATACCTGCCCACATCCACTTGGCTGGAGCGCGTCAATTAATATTATATATAATACACCTAATAAAACTAATTCATTAATAACTATATAATAATTCCTCTCCCTAATTATCTTTATATATGTACTAATCACATCCACCAGTACTAAGCAAAACGCAAAAACCAAAGATGGGTGAGATGATCAAAGCCAGACGCATACTCCTCTTCTCCATCGTATTCCTCTTCTTCTTCTCTCAGGCCTTTCTTTTGTGTTCAGCTAATGAGCATGGCTCAAGAAATCTTGCAGTGGTGATGAAGAAAAGGGTTAGATACAGAGGACCTCGCAACACAACAACCTCCGCAGCTTCAACTATGATGCTCCCAAGTTCCTTCTCTATTGGTGCTGCTTCTTCTTTCCTCCTTGCTCTTCTTTTGTAAGCTCCGTGATTGTACTGTTTCACAATGATTCATGTAATTTGCTTTTCTCGATTGAATTGATTTTGTAAAATATCTCGAATGGTCTAAAACTCTGTTTGTACTTATTTGCTCTGTTTCAAAATTGTGAAAGTTAAAAGATATCCACTGCTTTTCCTTTTTGTACGCTAACACACAAAAAAAAATAAGCTAGGTTTTACGATCTCTATGTCTCATTCTAGTTCTTTCTTATCAATTCAGAAAAAGTATATATTGTCACTTGTCCCCATTTCTACGTATTTGTTTCACCTTATGACAATCCTATAACCAAGTCACATAGATCATGATACATGCAAACATTTCATCACAGAACCAAAGCTTCATGATTCTAAAAGCATCTCTTGACAACCTGGTCGCTACAGCTGTGTGGCTCAAACCATCACTCCAGGTCAAGATCGGCCAGAGATCCGCAGTATCCGTTCATGTGATGTATGAGAAAAGAGTGTTTTAAAAAGGGTGATTGGAGATTTTTTATATTAATTATTGTAAATTTGCAATTATCTATTAATTGTTGAGAGTTGGTCGCACGAAAGTGTCTTTTCCGACATGTGTCGCCTCTAGACGTAACCATCGGACCTTGACCTTGACTATGTGTTTCTTGTTTTGTTAAACATCGGACCTTGACTTCTGGACCGATTCTATAGTTTTTTTGCTTACCGAGTTATTTTTTGGTCTTTATTTTTGATTAATGATTATGATGAAAAAAAAGAAAAAAATTATGCACACTCTCAAAAGAGAAGTGTTTATTTTTTAAATTTTTTTGTTTTGTTAAAGAGCAAGTGTTTATTCAAGAAGAAAATATCTCAAACATGTTGAGACTTTAATCAATTAATGGAATAAATGAAATTACAAGAGCAAAAACATTATAAAAGAACAAGAGCAAACGAATAGATCAGGGTGATTGGGCATAAAAAAGTGGACGACGGTACTCATCGAAGAATTGATCACGATCCACGTACACGATTGCATAGAGTGCATAGATGATCCCGGGTACGTACCCCAAAAGGGTTAGGATCAGACATATCATGAACTCCGTCTACACGTTAAATTTTGACAATTTACATATTTAAGCTCTTGATTGAGACAAAACCAAGATTGAGAGGGAGAGAGAAAGAAGACTTACAGTGCAACAGCCATGTCTCAGACAAACCCCGAGAGGAGGGATGAGTATGGCGATCATTATTTCACAGCAAATCTCGCACCCATTCGCCATTTCTCAATGTTTTGATCCTTTTTTAGTTCTTTTGTTAGATCGAGAGGACTTATTATATAAAGAGTTAATTTGTGCAGAGGTAGAAATGGGAACAATAATTAGTGCAGAGGTAGTATCAGAAGTTGTCGGTTCGCAGGTAGTATCAAAAATTAGAAAGGGGCTGCATACAGCCTTTATTTACAAAAAAACCAAGCCGCGTGATACGTATGCGCGTGGGCGAAAGAGAGGTGGCTCTATGTGCAACCGAAAGAACATTCTGACTTGCCTTTAATATGTCAGATAGAATTGATAGTTATTCGGCAAAAGTCAATACGAGGTGATGGTTATTTAATGCGTGTGTCTCTCGTTTGAGGGTGTGGGATTCGAAATCAAACGAAAAGGTTTAGGCGGGATGCGAAATTTTAAAGGACTAACCTAGGGCTGTTATTTATAACAGCAGTTTATAGAAGTTAAAAAGGGATGTAGCTGTATATCTAAACAAATGTCGTTTGACAAAAACTGACTGAACATTTATATAAACACATAGAGGTCTAATATACTAAATTTACATAAGATATATGACTCTATGAAAATATATGAACATGTATCTAAATTTATAGATAAATATTAATTCATTAACTAATTGAGAATTTTTGATTAAATTCGATTTTGTTTTCCAGAAAAAAACATGTTTCGATTGATTTCATGCATAGCCTATGCTCCATCGTCTTCTTCCTTTTCACTCCAAAATTTCTTGTTTTGTTTGTGCTCTTAGTCACCGTCGTTGGTTTTAAATCTACTGTTTCTTCATCGTTTGCAAAAAAACTCTAGCTATCTATATTTGGTCGTTTCTTCTTCCCAGATCCACTTACGTCTTTACCTATTTTCTTAGATCCGGTTGGACATTCACAAATCTGCATAGATCTATACTTTCGTGTTTGCATGTTCATAAGTTTTCTTGCGGCTCCATTAACTGTTCATCCCCCTCGTAATCCACATCCAGCAAGACCAACCTTGTTATGTCTCCACATGTTCATGTTTTTAGCAATCCAAGTTAATACATGGATATTCACAATTGGATAAGACTCATTATTTGCAAACGTAGAGCTCTATGTTACATTGGCTATGTTACCTTCGAGGTATGTGTCATCAACCACCGGCGTTGCGTCCCTAGCAAAAGTTTGCACTGGCATTTCAAGCATATAAACATAATAAACACGACGTTGTTTTTCTTATCGGTTTGAATGAATTAGAAAAGAGTTGAGAGAGATATAAACATAAGATCTGCATCTGGCGGGTTAGTAGAAAGTGGGCCAACGTCCCGGAGAACACCGGCTTTGAGTAAAGATCCAAGATTTTCCCAAAGCAAGGTCGAATGGTTTCGATCTCCTTGGAGGTCAGGGCCTTTAGAACGGCTTTGATGGTATTAAGCTTAAAGTAGATGTTAACACGAGCACCGGCAGGTTCTTCTCTGTCTGCAAAAAGCCTAGAAGGAAATCAATATCTGCCATTTTCCTGCAAAACAGAGAAGCCAATTTATTAGAAATATAGATCAATAAACGGAAGATGATGACATGCAATTTATGTATGAAGCTCCAAATAAAATTATGGATGTCTAACAGTGGATCTACGTCAAAGAGGTGAAGATACATGCAGATCTAAGGATGTGTATAAGGAAATTTGAGGACGAAAGCCTAACAATAGAAAACAAAATCGTAATAGCGAAAAAATGAAAACAGAAGTTAAAACAGAGAGATCTAAACGAATTAAGGAAAAATCAATTGGTTTTGGAAGAGAATGAAAGTGACAGTTCGCCTCTTCGAATTCGGGTCTACGGGATACCAAGTTACTTGTGATATGAGGCGACGCCGATTAGCAATCTCACCGCAGCAAACTCGGTCCTCGAAACAAAGGAAGAAGACGATGAGGCTTAAAGTTTCCAGAGAGAGATAATAAAGTGACTGTTTAATATCTCGAGTGGAGATAATAAAGAGAAATCTTCTTTTTTTTCCAATGTAACGCGTTATAAATTGGGCTGTTCGATTATAGCGCGTGAGGGTATAAACGGAAGAAATATGGGCTGAAATCTTCAATGTCTTGGGTCGAAGAGCATAATGTCGAAAATTTAAATAAGCCTGGATCCGTTACTTCTCAGCCAATTATCTCTTATATAAAGGGAAGAGAGACATAAAAAGAAAACAGAGCCAACTTTTTTGAGAGGAAAAAAAAAAACAGAGCCTGAAAACGACAACGTTTAGAACCCATATCTGATGACAGAAAAAGAAACAACAAATTAAGAAAAGAAGAATGAATATTCAAATGTAAAGTATTTTTACGAGTACAAAGAGTGGAGCTATTTTGAAGCTCTTTGTGTGATGGATTGTGCAGAAGATAATCTCTCATATTTTATGTTTATCTAATAGAATTAATATGATATGATTGGTATATGAACCAAGTCATGCCAACAGGATCTAAGGAGTGATGAGCGACATGTTTTTGTTGGAGGCCCGACCACACAACAAAGCATTTTTGGGCAAAGGGTATTCATCTTTGGGAGAGTGAACTGGAGAATAAACTCGAAGGTAGAATTGTTGACCTAAGTATTGTCTCGCCCAGAACTGGCTCCTTAGATTCCACATCCCCACATTGTCCAATGCCACATATATAGCTGTCCAAGATTCTGGATATACCTACAACAACCAAACACATTTCAACTTTATGATCAAAATTCTTCATTCTTTTTGTTTTGTGTTTAGAAGAGATATAGAGGTTTTTTACGTACTTGAGTAGTGGAGCGAGAAATAGCATCCTTGAGATTATACTCTCGTCTGCTCGCACGTGACCATATTCCTTTTTTGATCCTGTGGACAACTCATGGACGTCAACGACCATTGACGCACCCTAAACCCTAAACCCTCATTTGTATGATTCTCAAAGTAGGATTAAGCTATTTTTCTTACCCGACAACCCAAAAGTTGTATCCATCGAGGTGGTAACTTTGGACTATCTTCTCGCGGTTTTGAAAGATGATCTCAAGAAAAGCATTGTGGTGTGCTCCCATCACTGCCGTGTCTAGCCTCATTCCTCCTCCTCTTCTCGGCTTGTCAGGGATGCTTCCGACTGTAAAAACATTTTTTATCTTAAAATGATCCGCCAGCTTCAGTGGAGTATCCGAAGGCACGAACGATACACCGTTTATGGCATAGCGTTGCTTTCTTTTCACAAGAGCCGCTGAGCTTTCCAATATTATAGTCCTAGAATTAATCTTCATTTTACCATAATGGTACGTACGAGCCTTGAGGGTTGGTCCTTGGCCCGGACGCAGTTAGGTTGGTCCTAATGGACTGGGCTTGTTTGATAGACCATTCTATCTCATTTGGATCGGGTGCTCGAGAAGGGACAATCTTATGGCCTTTGGAGTTGGAGTAGTGGAGAGTGGATCCCACCCCAACGTCTGCCCCGATAAATCTTGTGGAAACGACTATGGAATAGTTTTGGGGAGGTTGGTCCATGGTGACCAAGACAGAGTAAGTTTGACCAACATGAATGTCGAGTGAGGTGTACATGGATTGGACCGTGTGGGTTCCCTCGACCTCAATGAGCTTAAGCTGATGACCTAATATTTCGAAATTGAGGGAGGTTTGAAGCCCTACATTTGATAATCTGAATCTGTACGTTTTACCTATCAATTGATCCACGAAAGTGATGAGAGAACTAATCCTTCTTTTTTTTGTAACTAACGTAATATTTAGAGTTTTTAAAATGAACCTTTAATTTGTCGACGGTGATAGAATAAACAGAACTTAATCCTTGGCCATTGATCATAACCCCATCAGGCATCGTCGGTAACTTGCGTCCTCCGTCCAAAATTTTCTTTAAAGTCTGGATGTAGAATCAATTATGGTCATCATATACATATACATTAAGAAATTATGGTCATCAAATATATGTCAATGAAAAATACTAATTAAGCATGACTAGTTAAAAATTAAGAAATGTACCGTATGGTTACGTCGATACCAATCGCCTATGAGGAAGGTGAAATCTCCTGCGGGTTCAGGGAAAGGGACGGGGATGCGAGGGAGGCTGTAGATACGGAGGCTGCCATAACCACCGGCCAGTTTTTGGACTGCGAGGGAAGGGAAGTAGAAGTAACTACCGACCTGATCTTTGACTTGAAAGTCATAAGTGTAATTCTTGCCTGGTGGGATTGGACAAGTCGTCCCATACACTCCATCTTGGTACGAATTTTTCCTCATGTGCACTCCATTCCTTCATTTATCACTTTTTGTATTTATTAAATCGTTGATATTCTAATTAATTAACATGAAAACTTTACGTGCTCACTAACAATACCCAACAAATTAACAAGATTTTGAAGAAACGGCACATGCATGCAAATTGGGTCCTTCATACATACAATTTACCAAACTCCAATCCTTTCTTCTAATATAACTTAAGCTTTTGTTAATTGAAAAGGACTGATACAATCTCGCTAATATTACAAAAGAATGAGAAATAGATCATACCAAGATAAGAGAAAGGGCTCGTCTAGATCGTTGTGAACATTGATGACCAAATTGTCATTGGTGAGTGAGCGAATCTCCGGTCCAGGAAATTGTCCGTTTATTAGGATTCCCTGTGTGTTTTAAATATTAATATAAGCATGATCAAACAAACACACAAGAAGCAAGAAGCCATTTTGGAAGAAAATGTACCCTTCGAGGCAAAGTACGTAGAGGTATCTCGCCGTAAGTGACCCTCCAGTTGTAAAAAAGGGTATCTCCAGCTTTAACAAAATAAATGATGGTCGTCGTCATCATCATCCAAATACCTCCGTTTAGCCACCACCTCATACTCGATCTTGATGAAACTTTGGTAATGAGGAGGACAAGAAGAAAAAGTTGGAAGATAAAGCGTGAATGTGAATTTTAGAGCTTGTAGTAGTGACAGAAAAAAGACTCAGTGACGTCTTTAAAGTCTAATGGGAAGCTTTTCAATAAGCTAAATAACGAATTACGTGTATCATTCGATTTGTTATAAAGAGAAAAAAAGTTATCTAGCAAGCCCATTAATTGGCCTTGTTATGCTGACTGTTGCATTCTCAATTGTTGTTTTTGGGCTTCATTTCTTTAGAAAGGTGGTTCTCATTGACATGATTCCCAAGAAAATTAATAGACAGAGTTATTTCACAAAAATAGTGTGTTAAAAGAAGTGTTAAAACCTTGCGAGAGATAACACACAGTCTATATTAATATACTAAGAGCATGATTATAGGTAGTCTCTTAGAAAATAATTTTAGCAATATTTAAGTAATTTATTTGTAAAAGTGATTGTTAAGAGATAGTATTTTTGAGTTAAGATTTTTGTGTGATTAATGGTAGGCTCTTAACATGTGGTTCTTAGAAAAAAAAATATTAATATAAAAATAAAATTTATAATTATAGAAAATTTAATAATTGTTGCAAATTAAAAAAATTAAAACATACATGAGATACAATTAATTAAAAAAGAAATAAAATTAACAATTTTAAGTCATGAACCTCATTTGAGGTTTTTAAAAATTTAAATTTTTGAAAATTTGTGTTTAAGTGTTATTGAAACACTTGATCAAATTTATGTGTTTTGGTTTTGTGGAGAAAAAAAAAGATATGGTTTTGGTTTATGTGTATTGGTTTTGTGGAAAAAACAAAGATATAGTTTTGGTTTATGTGTTTTAGTTTTGTGTAGAAAACAAAGATATGGTTTAAAGTGATTCGTCTTTTGAAATTAAAAGAGTGAGTAGTAGGTTAAAGTTGACAAACGTCATGAAAAAATGAACTTGTAGCAACAGAACATTGGTAAACATTTATTACATCATTCAAAAAGGTCCGAGAACAAAGAAAAGCAACAAACATAGCCTCGAATCCAAAAAACAGGTGTTAAATCTTTAGCTTTTCAAGACAGAGTTTGACAAATGTATCTTCCCACGAGTCAATTGAGCTCCAACAGTTGCAGTCTCATTAGCTTTTGACTGGGAGCTATCTTCCCACGCTCTGACAAAAGACAATCTCTTCTCCTTTGACAAATCAGCTAGCTTAACATATCTAGATAACAAACAAATGGAGCTCAGTAACTTCCACAAAACATCACAACCAGAAAGTAGTCACAAAGTTTAGATTACCCTAGACCAAACCATCACCATTTAAGGCTTTGGTTTTATTTTCGTCTTGATCATGTTCCTTTTCATCTATAATGGAGCTTTAATTGGTAAAGAATATAAAGCAATGGAGCTTTTCATCTACAATGGAGTTTTTTTTTGAAGAATCAGAGAGGAAGAACAGGAAGAAACCTCGTTGTTGGTAGCCATGGCCTCTACAAATGCAAGTCACCAACATTGTTGTCAACCTCAATAATCATGGAACCAGCCAAGAGTTGCATCACAAGTCCAGATGTGACAATAGGAGTAATACCAAGCTCCATGACAGTTCCACGGTTGGACGCAAGAATGACACGCATCCAATAGAATGGATCAGCACCGGTCGTGGAATGGATTCCATAAAGAGGAAGCTGACTGCAGACATGAAAGATGAAGAGAGAGATGACAATGTAGATAACCTAGCACCTTCCTATCAGCACTCTGAACCTCTGGCAAAAACGCAAGGAATGGCCTCACCAAATGCAAAACTCTAAATCCTCCTCCCATTCTAGTATCCGATCAACTATATCTGCTTCTGTAAATAAATCACAAATCACTCCCAAGTAAGCTTCTAAACACACAGATAATCACAAATCCACACGCATGCACCACATTTATAACACACAGATGATTCTTTTTCCAACACTCAAAACTCTAACTTAGATCAATCGGGAATAACACAAAGCATAATCTGACACAATTCAAACACATTCAAATCAATACAGATTGAGATTTCTATTGGCAAGAAAAGGATAACGTTCAAACACAAGCCATCACCCAAATCTATCGTTAACCACCGGACTCAATTAATTCCAATTGACAAGATCAAACAAAATCCAATTTCAAAATTTGACGGTTTCAATTCCACTCATCAATCTCGGCTAAAAGAAACTGAAAAAATGAAAACAGATCGAATTCAACACGATATACAAATGAAAAACAGAGAGATTCATATCATGGGAAATAGATTGGAGCATCCTTGAACCAAACTCTCTGATTTGGTGAACTCTTGGGCGATTGAAAATCGATTTTTGGATGCGTTAAAGATCGAAAAAAGAGAGAGACGATGAAACAAAGAAGGAAACAAAAATTGTCGATGAGAGTCGATTTCCGGAAATCATCGTGATTTCTCTGATTTCTCCGTTTTCGTGAAATGAGAGAGAGAAAAACAGAAGGAAAAATAAAACATTACCCATACAAATTACGCCACGTGGACGTCTCTTAAGGCAAATTTTGTTCCTTAATTTAAATGGAGTTAAAACATTAAATTTAATCATTATTTTGCCTAAGATTTGGCTAAGAGTCGGGCGATAATAATAGATTTATACAGAGGAAAAGGCAATGTGCCTTTTGGATTTGACTTTGGGTAAATAAATTCGCATTAGTAGAGACGACCAACATGCTCAGTTAGTAGTCCTTGGGATTCGACGACTACCCAAAGCTCCCTCTGTTTGTATTAAGTGCACATGATAGGGATCTTTATATAGTCCAATATGACAATCGAATGCCAAAATGATTTTAATTTTTAAAAATTCAAGACCTCGGACAAAGTGTTAAATTGGACAAAACACAGTTAAAACCAAAAAATTGAGGGTTAAGAGTTTGAGGGTTAAGAGCACAGCATTTACATACACACATTACTGTCTTGTAGTTTCACGTGACTCTCTTTACCCCTCCCGACCAATAAATAAAGAAAAAATCACAGTAGAAAGAGAACAATGCAAAGGACTAAGGGTAAAAACGGTAAAACCCCAAAAAGATGAGATGATGAAGAGAGGCTCCTCTCAAACTGTAGAGAGTCAACGGCTAAAGGCATGTTCTCTTGGTCAGGACTGCACTTGTTTAGGTGAGGTGGGTGTGGACTATACATAATGGCTCTTAACACAGCTGAAACGGTGGGAATGTATGCCGTTTTGTTACGAGCCAGTAGCCATGTGAGTCCCATGAGCTTGCAGTCTTTGCTCATCATCTTACTCCCTCTCTCTGTTGTTGTCTTCTTGTTTCCTCCTCTAACATTTAGCTGTAATCCATCAAAAATTTGAAACAAATACAAGAATTTTAAGTAAAAAGTTTTTTAAAAATGGCAAAAAGATTGCGTGTGAAAGTGAAGGGTTTCAGAGTGTTGCAGTGCTTTGGGCTAATACGAAAAAAGAAAGTTTCTGAAAAAGCACATCTCCAATTGTTTGCAACCTAAAAGGATAGCCAAAAGAAAAACAATGTGGTTGTGTGTGTATGTGTCTCTTTCAACATAAACCCTAAAAATTAGCAGTAAATTTTTTGTAATTGTGAGTTTGGTGAACATGTTTCTCATGGATAGAGAGTGACAGCTATTATTGAACATTCTGAAGAAGACTTCACGCAAATGAACGCAAAACATTTATTATGCTTTTAAGGATAAGAAATTTTTCATTAAATGCTATGTGAATCCTTAGTATAGGGACATAAAGAATGAAAATTTAATGTAACGGAATGCACAAAAAATTGAATTTTTAACCAAAAAAAGTTATAAAAATTGGACCTTTTGAAGAGCACCGAGGCATCTGGTACAACCGGAGTAAGAAGAATTCCGACATTCTTTTTCAAGATTCTTCACGGCGGCGGTGGGAGTTGCGTTTTTTAAGCCGGAGGAGACATTGAAAGCGGCAGGACAAGAGAGTGAGCTAATCTGGTGGAGACGAATGCCACAGAAGCACAAGATTGCATCGCAGCTTGAATTAGGCTGAGGGATTTTGATTTGTTTGATCAAAAGCGCACTTTGCAATGTGTTGACGCACTTCTGTGAGTCGTCAGGCTTCATGGGTTCGTCGGGGTCAGAAGATTCCGGCGTTGGAGCAGGAGCTGGTAGCTGGAGAGCAGAGCGAGCGTGAGCTGCGAAGAGCCAAGCGGCTAAAACAGGGCAACATCGACTCCGGTCAAGGTTTCTTCCGCAAGCTTCGTTGACACCACCAAAGAGCTCGTTGGAGAGGTCAAGTCGGCAGCTTTGAGCTTGGGTTTCGACGGGGAATGCCGGTACAGTGTTGGGTTGGACCGGTTCGGCGAGTAGGTTGCTCAAGACGGTGGAGCAGAGGAGAGAACAGAGGAGGAGGATGAGTAAAGTGAGACTCTTCTTCATTGTAAATGGCTAGAGAGAGAGAGAGAAATGGATTTAGAAATTGAAACGTTTTCTCAAATCTGAGTCCTTTTAGATTCTGAGATTCACGAAGAAAAGCAGCCTTCCATTATTCACTATCTTCTCTCTCTTTTGTTCTGTCCAAAGGACTATTGTGAAGAGAGAGAGAGAGAGAGAGAGAGAGAGAGAGAGAGAGAGATGTGATGGAAAAAAAACAAGAGATTCCTGACTTTTGGCAGTTTCTGGTTTGTTTTAGAGTCTATAATCCCTTTGTAAACTGTGCTTAGCTCCCGAAATTATAAGCCTTGTCTTTTTGCTTTGTACTAGTAGTAACTTAGAATCCTTTAACTACATTAGGAACAGTGGCGGAGCCAGGATTTTTGTTTATAGGGGTCATATATATTATTATTTTTATTTAGTTACATATTAATATTAAATAATATATTTATCTTGATTTATGATATTTTATAGAAATATATGTGAAAACAATTTTGAGAAAAAGGACAAAAAAAAAAACAAGATATCCAATGATACAAAGAAAAAGAATCAATATGTAAAAAAACTATTAGAGAATTGTAATCATTTTTTAGGAAAAAAACAAAACAAACATAGAAAGAAAATTAATGATGAATGAAAAATTAAATATGATAGGGGTCAAAGACATAAAATTATGGCATGACATAGGGGTCAACTAGGAAATTTTGTACCAAAATATCTAAAATCATTAGATAATTTACCTTATAATTTCAAAACTTTAAAATGTTATGGGGGTCAGTTGACCCCCCTCCCTCTTAATTGGCTCCGCCCCTGATTAGGAATAATGTATATAGTTCATCTTTATACATATACATAGTCATGTATTTTTGCATGTATTCCCTAACAGTAGGCTTTTAATTTTGTTAAAAGCTAGCAAAAATATGTGAAAGAGAACAATTTAAAGATAGGAGTTAGTGAAAATAAATAAAAATATGAATGGTTGAGAAACATAATGAGCCCTTGCGAGGTGAGATTGAGATGCGAATGGAGCATAGTCACAGAAAGAAAAGGGTCGATATCTAAAGGACAAAACACAAAACTCTCTAGTCTCTACAATCATATATTAAATCATTGATTCGCTTTTTGAGCATTGACAAATCCAAAAGAATGTAAACCTCTTTTTTTCAAACGGGCAAGGAAAATGAGCCGGAGGTCCGCCTAGGGAAACGGTCCGTCAGAAGAAAAGTGAAAACTCCAAAAGGCGAGAAAAAAGGAGTCGTCCCTACTTTTCACTAATACACTTCCTAATCTTCCTCTTTTAAGTTCCTAATCCCACCAATTAAAGCATTTTCACACGTTCTTTGTTTGCTTGCTTACTTGCCCATCTACCAAATAGTCAAATACATTATCTATATAAGACTTAGATTTAACTGTTTGATACTTATCTTTGGCTTGGAATTGAAAAGGAAAAATATTATTTTATATGTATATACGTAGTTTAAAGTTATCAATTGGTTTTAAAAAAGTAAATCCATAAAACTTAGAATGACTGTTCAACTGACTTCCACAATAAATCTAACAGCTTCAGGAATATAGGCCTTATATTGGGCCTAATTAACAACTCCAAGGGCTTTAATTGGACCTTGAAGTGGGCCTAGTTAATGTAACTCCCCTAATTAACTTGATTGACGCTTATATTTCGAACAAAGCAATAAGTGATGTGTTTGCTCCTTTTTCATTTCGTTTTACGATAACTTGATAGACGTTTTATAATTTTCTGATTGCTTCCGTCGACTGTGTATGTGGACTTATGGAGCAGAGTTTAGATAGCTCGCCTAAACTTTTAATACATTAACCATTCATGAAAATTTTATAGACTAATAACTTTATCTTTGACAAAACAAAAACAAGAAGTTTATACATCAAACAAAAGAAAGAATGCAACAAAGAATCATATGTGAAAGAAATATATATATGTGTATGCATATGTTGGAAATTAAAACATAAAGTCATCTAAGATGAAATCTTCCGGAAAACCAAAGTCGAAGAAACTGTTGGAGTTGGCTCCAGCTTCAATGCTATCTTGTTGTGGAGAAGACATTGGCGTTGACATGAGCGAGTCTAAGTCAAAACTCTCTGACAAAGGTGGTAATACATCTGCGGAAGCAACGTCGTCGAGTCTTGCGTTCATAAGCTCGAAAGATGAAGTTTCATTGTTTGTTGGGGTAGTACTCTCGGCTTGTGGTTGAGACGATTCTGATGATGTGATTGGAGTTTGAAGATTTTGGTCGAGGTTCGATGAGTAAACTGTATTAGGGTTATGAAGTGGCAAGAGAAGGGAGGCCAACCTCAATACATCGGGATTAAGCAGAGACGACGCATGTGTTGCAACTGATGAAAAGTTTGGCTGATTGAAAAGTGCGCCTAAAAGTGAGGACAAATCAAGAAGATCAAGGCGTGGAGAGTGAGTAACAGGATCGATACCACTCCTTATAAGTCTCTTGCGGATATGAGTGTTCCAATGGTTTTTTATTTCGTTATCGGTCCTCCCTGGTAGACGAGCTGCTATTGCAGACCACCTAAAATTCATCAATTCAATATTAGTGACATTAATCTATGATTAATATAAGTCTCCTCTTTTATTATTCTAATATAGGTCAATACGTACTAGTAAAGTACTAATGATAGTTTATTGGAGTTGATTGCCTACATTTGACATGTACGCTCCGCATGCAAACGTACACTCTCACTTTTTCATTAATCAATATGAATTTCAGACAAATAATTATGGTGTGAACGAAGCTTACTTGTTTCCCATAACACTGTGTAGCTGAATGATAATTTCTTCTTCCTCGAAAGAGAATCTTCCTCTCTTGATGTCCGGTCTTAGATAATTGGTCCATCGAAGACGGCAGCTTTTTCCGCATCTTTGGAGTCCTTTAATTTGTACAATACAACTTATAAGTGTGTGATTCAATAAATTGAGAATATATTAACCTAATCAGAACAAAAATATAAGAAATATAGATGTGTATAGTTTACGTACCAGCATTTTTGGGAAGAATACGCCAATTGCCTGGACCATGAAATCGAATATAGTCGATGAGTTTCTGATCCTCCTCAGCCGTCCATGGTCCCTTCTTCACTCCATTTTTATCACAACAAGGTGACCTTCCCATCTTTGTTTTGTTTTACACAGATATAATACAAGAATCGACGATAGATTTCAATAATGATTTAGTTCTGTTATGAAGATAAAAGAAAATCAAAGTGCCAAGTGGAGTTTCTTAAATTTCGAAAAGAGGACTTGGATTTTAGAAATGTCAATGTGTGGATGTACTCATACCTTCTCCGTTCATTTGTTTATATAGGGATGTGAATTATGCGAAGAACTTAGTTAATGCGGAAGAGAGCCAAGGTCAATTCCACTTGGCATGTACCTAATATGCCACGTCCTTTTGAGCCACAATATCGTCTTTGTTTTTTTACTGTATATTCTAGAAACGATCCACGTGATAGTATGCCTGGTATTTTAATCTAATCTATCTATCTAACTTAGATTCTGTGATCAGTACAATTAATAATATCTTTTGTGTATATTTTGGAGTGAATATATTGTATTTGTATATAGATAAAGTAACTACGAGGTTACAATAGATCTTGTGGGGTAACTATTCGGCGGTGAACATGTATTTTTTCACCTTATGGTGGTGACTGGTGAGAGTCAGAGTGAAGCACATTAATAATCTTTTGCTTTTTGTTTGTGGGTTAAGTTATTGACTTTGCTTAAACAAATAAAAAGGTTGTTGACTTTACATGTTAATATAGGTCAGTTGACTTTTACATACATGTTTGGTTAAAGAAAACCTGGAAAATTAAGTATGAGAATATATGTTACGTTGAATTTTGTAACATAAAGCCTAGAGTTTCAAAGGTTAAGAGAGTGAGGGCGGTAAAGTAGTTGGATATTCTCATCAAAAAACATTTCAAATAACGTGTTAATGTCATGTGCCTTTTGCTTGTGGTTCTAAAATTGATGATGAGACAAATTGCAACATTTTACTTGTGCAACGTAATTTCAAGTTTCATTTGTACAGATTGCTTGTGGAAGGGTTTCTCCGAACAAGCCATCCACGTTGGCACTAATTTAGTCGATTTCAAAAAGCAAATTAAATAACAACAAAAATGCAAAACTAGTGAAACTTTTTATTTTATTTTTTATGTTTGTTAAATTGTTGGTGGAAAGCTGTGCAACAAACTTTGAATTCCATATCCCCTTTATCACAAGAACCACAGGCTTCTCCGAAGTTCACACCGAAGCTTATTTGTCTACATTTTAAATATTTTTCACTCTCTTAAAATAGCAATGTGTGGATTCATGCAAAAGGTGACACATGGAAAGAGATGTGTTGTGGGGTTGTCCTTTCACTTCTTTTTTGCATCATTCTATCTACTCTTGGTTAGGTTTCTGGATTGGTCAGCGTCGGAGATTTACCAAAAGGAAATCGGTCAGCGTCAGAGATGATGATGATGATGATGTCAAGTCAAAGATTGTGTCAAGTCACGCATTAGGAGATTCTCGAACAAGGCCTAATTAATACCAAAGCGTTTTACTTAATGGGCCACTTGTGGAATTAAGCCTCGCACGTTTAATGGGCTTCATTGGTTGTAAAAAGGAGCTCATCAATAACGGGCCATGTTTATTGCTGCTATATATCATCACTTTGTAATTGCCTTTTACCTTAATAAGTTAAATGTTATAAAATATATAACAAATGATGACAACATATTTTGCAGAATATCTAAATATGTATAAATTTATATAAATATATTAAACTGAAAAAGGTATGAAATATATGAAAGATGATATATAATACAAAGACAATGGACTCCGTTTCCATATGTCAGCACAAAAAAGTAAAGAAAAAGAAACAGTAATTCTTGACCAATAAAAAAGGAAAAAAAAGCAGTAATTAGATATGCATGTTAAAGAAATAAAGATCACGTTGTCATGTGCACAAAGACCATTTAATAGTACTAGTGTTTTATCTATAAAAGAAAAAGGAAAATCAACATTGTGCCTATTAGTCTTGGTATATCAATACCTTAAAAAGGGAAGAAAATCTTGGTATAGAAACTTCAGGATCTCCATTATTTAAATCTAATTACTCTTTCAAGAACACAACAATAGGGACACAATAATACATAACTTTTTCTTACAACCCCTTAAGAGATTTCATGGTATGATGTCAACTTCGATCGTCTTTTGCATGATTAACGATATATGTCGATTTCATATTTTTGCTATTTGAATCTTAAATATGAATACTGATGAGTGTTGATATATGAATGGTTCAGTCAGAGACGAGCATGGAAAAATACAAGAATTTATCAGATTTCCTTAAGAAGTTCTACATTCCTTCGTACGTTCTCTCGCCTGAAGCCGAGCCTGTGGCACAAACCAGTAGTACACCACCTGAGAGCCCAATCCTCGTATTCATCAACTCCAAAAGCGGAGGTCAACTAGGTGCAGAACTCATCCTTACCTACCGCACTCTACTCAACGACAAGCAGGTCTCTATATCAATTTAGCCATAGACTAATGATTCGTTGGTTTTTGAAATTGGCTTCTAAAAAAATTTGAAAACGAGAAAAAGTGATGAATTCGTTGATTCTTCTTGAATACGTAACCCTATGATTTTTAACCTAAAATTCAAACTTGATTGAAACATGGCAACTAAATAAAATAAACAATGGTCTAAATTTACTTACCATGCATATATTATATTTTGGAGTTTTTATTGATTGCAGCACGTTTTGTAGTTCAGGTTTTTGATCTTGAGGAAGAGACTCCGGATAAGGTGCTGCAGAGAATTTATCGTAATCTAGAGAGGCTAAAAGACGATGGTTTCGCAAGCAAGATTCGGGACAAGTTGAAAATAATTGTGAGTTATATTCGTCGATCGATACGTAGAAAAGATGTTAATGATTAAGTCATTAAGGCTGAGTTGTGTGTTTGATTAGGTTGCAGGGGGAGATGGAACAGCTGGTTGGCTCCTTGGAGTTGTTTCTGATCTTAAATTATCCAATCCACCTCCAATTGCTACGGTTCCTTTGGGTACCGGAAACAACCTTCCATTTGCATTTGGATGGGTATGTATATATATACACTAATGATCACTTAATCATAATGTATCTCATAAAATATGTTTCTTTCTTCTTACTAAATCTCATCATCTTCAGGGTAAGAAAAATCCTGGAACAGATAGGTCTTCGGTGGAGTCTTTTTTGGATAAAGTGATCAATGCAAAAGAGATGAAGATAGACAAGTATATATCTAGTGACATATATATCATTCTCTTCCAATTTTCATATATTTTATACTTTGAATTTGGATTGATATATGTATGCATTTATATCTTAATTAAGTTGGCAGATACTTATGAGGGTGAAAGCTCCTAAGCAAGACTCTTGTGATACTAATGCACCTCTTAAGCTACCACATTCTCTTCATCGTGCTTTTCCATCAGATCAAGAAAATATAGTATGTCATTGTCTTCTTTTGTGCATCATCTCTTTCTTTTATTCTTATATGATCAGCAATATTTTTCAATTTTTTCCAGGAAGATTACCAAACATTTCGTGGGGGGTTCTGGAATTACTTTAGCTTGGGTAAGAATTTTGCTCCCTGGCCGTTGAAAACAGCTCAATTTTTCCCCCTAAACAGCATTGCGGTTAGGTTCTACTTTACTAGATTGTTTCATCTTTCAGATGTTAGATATATATAGAAATGATATCTAACCAAATATCATGTCATAGTCATAGACATTTGAAACTTGGATTATAAGTTAGTTGTATGACTTCTCATTACATCGTTAACTGGTTGTCTTTGTGGAAATACAATCTAATCCCTAATCAATTTTATTGCAGGAATGGATGCTCAAGTATCTTATGCATTTCATTCTCAGAGAAAATTGCACCCAGAAAAGTTTAAAAATCAGCTAGTTAATCAGGTTTACATATATACCTTGCTCTTAAAGTTTTTTTTTTATGTTGTCTTCAAAATGATGTGGATGTGATTACTTCATCTAGTATGAACTAGAATAACAAAGAGTAACAACTAATGTTTTCATTGATTTCATGACATTCAAGAGCACATATCTAAAGCTTAGTTGCACACAAGGATGGTTTTTTGCCTCTCTTTTTCACCCTTCTTCACAGTGAGTATATTTTTCTTTGCTTATCCATGAGTTGTTCTGTGCTTAATTAGAAGCTCAAATACTCTTTGGCATTTGTGGCAGAAACATAGCTCAGCTTGCAAAGGTTCAGATTTGTAATAAAAGTGGCCAATGGAATGACCTTCACATTCCACAAAGGTAAAGGTTATACGAGGCTTTTTGTACAATAAACAAGATTGTCCAAAATAATTAAATTAACACATATATTTGTTTTGGCAGCATAAGGTCCATAGTCTGTTTGAATCTTCCTAGCTTTTCTGGAGGACTAAATCCTTGGGGAACACCAAATCCTAAGAAACAACGTGATGTAGGTTTTTAAAACATTCTCTTCACAGTAATTTGCTCAAAAAATGGTTAATGTTTCTTTGTGATGTCTCAACAGAGAAGCCTAACTGCACCATTCGTTGACGATGGACTCATCGAAATCGTTGGGTTTAGAAATGCTTGGCATGGTCTTGTTCTGCTCACTCCAAATGGACATGGGACAAGACTTGCACAGGTAAATGTAAAGTGATAGAAGAAAAACTGAGTTAAGTGCATACTTTTAACTCGTGTGTGTGTGTAGGCAAACCGAATTCGATTCGAGTTCAAGAAAGGTGCGGCGAAGCATGCATACATGAGAATGGATGGAGAGCCATGGAAACAACCACTTCCATTAGATGATGAAACTGTGATGGTAGAGATCTCACATCATGGACAAGCCAACATGCTTGCAACCCACAATTGCAGCTCCAAAAGCATGTTTGAGTCTTCTTCCACAATCCGGTTTAGTGATGATGAAGATGACTCAAAGTGAGGATTAATTTTAGAATCCAGTAGAAACAATATTCTCTTTCTTGAGCTCGTATAGTAACAACTAACGATCAACCAAGTTCCCAAACTCACCTAACCTCTGTTTCTTTGTCCCCTGTTCTTTTTCTTTATACTAGGATATGACCCGCGGTACACCGCGGGTTAATTATTATTATTTTTTTTTTTTTTATAAACTGATGAATTTGTTGTGTATAATATTTTTTGTTGTATACCGCTGATCACATGCGTTGTATATAAAAAATAAAAAAAATTAAGTTATATTTGTTTTGTTTACTATTTAAGATTGTATAATTAAATTTTGATTTGTTAATTCTAGGATTTCACCCGTGGTATATTGTCCCGTAGTAATATCGACCCAAACCCGTCCCACTATATACTCCTGTCATGTGAAATTAAACATCATTTTGTTATTTTTTAATAACTTTGAAAGACATATAATTCAAGTCAATTTAAAAGTTTACTTTCAAATGGTTTCCATAATATATATATTTTTAAATTAGTATGTGTTTTTGGACCAACCCGTAAAAATAATTTATAATTGTATCTTAAAATATTAAATAATTGTATTTTGATTTGTTAATTTAAGGATCTCACCCGTGGTATATTGTCCCGTTTTAGATCATTGTAGAAATTAAGAAAATATCTTAATTACTCAATTTCGGGTCAGAATTAAAAAAAACGACCTGATTAAATGTGCAATTTGTTCTTAAAAAAATGTTAACATAGATTACACACATACTTTTTTTCTTCATCGATTGAGTAATATATGTCTGTTTTATAAAATTTGAATCATAACATATGTAGAAAAAAAACTAAAATTTATTAACTATATATATTTTATAATAATTCAAAATAATATAAATATAAGATCAAATAAAAGTGAAATGAGAATCATATATTTATGTTTAAATTAGGTAGAGAGGTTTTAGGAAATTAGCTCAAATTTGTTATATTAGCATTAAATTATCATATTTGATTTCTTAACTATAAAAATTGTAAAGAATATACCATAAATAAAGAGTTTAGATTAGTTGAGAATATATATATAATTTAGATTTTATTAGGTATTTTCGTTTTTAAATTTTGCCATAATTTAAGGAAAGATCCGATTGAAGATTTCCGGGTCAAAATCAGAAAATATCCGACCCGATTAGAGGAGCAAATTTGTACTTCAAAAATGTTAAGTAGATATGTTCGAACATACAAAGTACTGCATTAAGGGTTTGTTGGGCTTAAGACTTTTGGGACTTGCTTCTTGCCCATTAAATCGAACCCTCTAGTTCTTTCGGAAGTTTCACTTGACTTCTCCAGAGATTTCTTGGAGAAACTCTTAGATGCACAAAGATCTTGCATGATAGGCAGAGGTCATTATAATAACCTCTGGAGACTATGTGACGTTGCCAAATTGTCAAAGTACAGATAACAAACTCGATGAACAAAGAGAACAGCTATGTATGTAGCAATAATCAAACACAAACACAGACACATAATATATTAAAATCAATGATAATGATAGAAATACAGAGAGAAAGGTAGAGACATATATAATGACTGATGTGTGAAGTAGGAGATCACAAAAACTGTCTCCATCCAAATGCTAATGAGTACAACCCTAAACTACAACCTACAACACAATGTGGGCTTATAACCTTTTTTCAAAAGAAAGGTCTCATAGGACAAGCAAGAGAAGAAGAAGATGAGCTTTCTGCAAACTGATGAGAACTATCCAAATCATCCCAAAGGGGACTTTCAGGACCCCATCCAGATGTAACCGCATTGTACCACGCCTCAGCCATGCCTTCGTCTCTCCCAACATCAATCACCGCTAGTTCCTTGCTTTCCAAGTTAACCTCGCTTGGCTGCGGCGTTTCAGGCTCTTTCTGCTCCGATGAGTTTGAATCATGCAGCTCGCTTTCCTTATTCACAAAATGCTCCGGGAAGTTCAGTGTTGCGCTGTGGCCCCTCAATTTGAAGGCTTGGCGGTCGTAGGCCATGGCAGCTTCTTCAGCTGTATCAAAGGTACCAAGCCAAAGCCGTGCCCTGCTTCGTGGCTTACGGATCTCTGCGACCCATTTTCCCCATTGACGTTGTCTTACTCCTCTGTACAGCTTGGTTGCGCTATAGGGTTGAACAGCTTCTTGGCTCATCATCATCATTCTTCCTCTTGGACTCAAATTCAATGTGTCACTCCAGTACTTGGCCATATACTGCTGCTGTTGTTGTTGAGGACTAAACGAGATCATTTGCTTCTGTCCTTGCATTGTCGGGTCGTGTTGTAGCTCAACCGGAACGTATGATCCGAGTTGTTGCTGCTGATTCTGAAGTGTTGGATCGAGAGAAAAGGGGAAAGCCCCTAATGAATAAGGAGAAGAAGAAGATTGGAAATAGGGTGTAGGACGATTAGGACTCTTCATTTTCTTCATAGATCTTGGGGACGTGGAAGAAGCTTCTCCAAAAGAATGATCCACATTTTTACCTTTCGTAATACAAAGATTTAGCTCCTCGTCAAAGTCCATCTTGACGTGGCACGATTCGCCAAAATAGAGTGAAAGAAAGGAAACTTAGAGAAGAGAGAGCTAGAAAAACAGAGAAAATTGTGTCTTGTTTTGTTCTTATTTGGTAAGAGAGAGACGACTCTACATGGGTTTATATATGAGGGCAGGATTTTAGATATTTTTTTTTGTCAACGAAAGATCTGCTAACCGCTTTTGTTAATATTATATTGTCCCATCTTACTATTGACGACTATTCAAATACAATCTTTTTGGGGTTATTCCTTTGCTTTTACGCCAATTCATTGGCCAATCAGAAAGTTTAGAAAATTTGCATTTTTAAAAAGAGAGATATTGACACAGAAACACAACACGCAGAGATGAAAACATTCACGTCCGTACGAATACGTGGCATTCTCTGTTTTTTTGGACGGTGAAGGCATTCATTTAATCATGCTTCCAAGTTCCTATCCCTTCCATTTTATTTAATTATTTATTTTCCAAGCTTTAATTTGCCATCACTTTTAGAAGCTTAAAAGATAAGATTAGACTGTAAAAACCATCTATAATTTAAGATTTTATGGAGGTTTATGCAAATTGAATGGAAACAAAAAAAAAAAATGATGTTGTTGGTGTAATGGTCGGCTAGCCGCGGCTAAGGATAATATCCCATAAGAATGACCATTTTGATGACAACCAAACGGAGTACTAATTATAGTTTCAATCTTCCGGGTCGGTGATTGGTCAAACTCAGCTTTCGCTTTTAGATATTTTGGTTATTATTTCTCCACCTCCCCACAAAAAGATACTCAACTCACAAGACCGACCAAGTTTGAAAAATTCACAACTAAAGAAGGAATTTCATTTCTCAGACAAAATCATTCTTTTTTGGTAACTAAATTTCAACACTATATCTCACGTGCATATCTATGCGTGATGTTATTCTTCATATCTTCTATATTTAGTGAGGAATACATACATAATTTATAAAGATTTTCAGGTGGGATATCCAAACTAACTATTGGAATTTTATAGTTGTTATGTAAAATTTTCTAGTGGTAAAAAAGAAGCCGTGCAGTAGAAAATCTACTTAAATGTCTATAAGAGTATTATTCTTAAGAAAATTCGTGACTATTAAGGCACATGTTTATTCTTTGTTTTTTATGAGCTAATATTGTTGGGTCTAATGTTTAGAAACAGTATGTAGTTGTTTTGGTGTAATTTTAGTTAGGGGTGAGCCGTGAGCATAAAAAAAGACGAACCAAAATGAACCAAAATTCATTGATTCAAATCATAACCACATTTTATTAGAACTATAACAATAAATACTATTTCGGCTAGAGACTCATGGGCCACTGACATTACATTTGCATCCAAATGTATACCGTTGAAACTTTTCTACAACTAAAATAAATGATTGACCCAAAAAAATGCCACTACAACAATTTCTAGATGAAAATTTTTAAAACTATATAGATAGTACATATAAACGTTCTTAATGTTCTTAATCATTATTGTTATAATCAATCATCATCATCTATAAATGTTCCCAGAACGTTATTTATTTGGAGAACATACTTCAATTTAGCTGAATCAGAACGTGCTAAAACAAGTCTGCATGTTCCAGGGGATTAACGAAATCAACACAAAGATGCGAAATAATTGCATAAAGCTATAAATTTGTCTAATTCCGTGAAAAAGCTATCAATCACTCCTTCGGATCATCACTCATCTAAATAATTTTGGATCAAACTTAACTTTTGGCCAATGATCCAATTTGGACAAAAGCCGAAAGAAGCCTAGTAAGTAAATAATATCAGAATATTATTCTAGAGGCTAAGAAAATAAATTTGAGATAATTTTTTTTGATAACCCAGTGTCCAGACCACACAGTGATCCGACTAGCCCACTGGGCCTAAGCCCGCGTGCCTGGGATTTTTAAGCCTCCACTTAAGGGCCCCCCGGAACTGGTGGTCTGGGACGCTGCGCCCCGCAGGTAAATTGCGCAGTGGCCGGGACTCGAAGCCGGGTGGCGGGTGCCTCAGCCGAGGGTCCTTTACCACCAGGAGACAAGCCGCGGTTAATTTGAGATAATTGTAACATAAATATATCTAAATATCATGTAGAAAATTCTACAGTAGACATTTTTGTAATAATCTTTATGTAAATGGTTATTTATGTTGTATAATTATTATTACTAGATTGTGTACCCGCGCGTTGCGCGGGATTTAATTTAAAACTTTTATTCTTTAAATCAATTGAATTAAAAAAATATTATACTTTACTCATGTGCATTATCTTTCCAAAGTAGTAAAAAGTTTCTCACATTTTTCCCTACAATTTTTTTCGTTATCTTCTATGATTCACTCGTTGTCTCCCGACATCTACTCTCTTTTCTCCTTAGCTCGTAACTATTTTCTCCTTCATATCTTTTAATACTCAATTTTTCTATAAGTTTCATGATCTTTTTATTTAAGTGAATATCGGAAACAGAAATATGGGGAGATGTTTGTTGTAATATTTTTTTAACCATATTTTGGTGCATCTAAAATTATTTTATAGACAACAAATCTCATATATGGACTCATTCCTATTCACAGACATAGAATTTCAACATAAAATTTTGCACTTTTATCTTGACCATTTGAAAAATACAAAATCCTCTTTCTATATATATAATTTAACGTATATTATGATTCTAGATAGTATTTTTAATGTTGACTTTTCTAAAATGTGACACTTACGAACTCATAAAAATTATTCAATTTTAGAATACATTTATTTTATAAATATCAAAATCCTTCTTATTTCTAATAAAAATTTTCTTCAGTCTACCATTATTATTCTAATTCCAAATAGCATACTCAAATATTATTATTACACAGTTTTATTTATTTTATAAAATTATTTTGTTTGAATTTTGGTGTATATGATCGTTTTTTTGTTTTATTTCAAATCACCTTAGTTTTTTTCAATCTATGTTAATTTTTTAAACACTGACTAATATTACGTTTTTTTAGGTGTTCATTTAAACTAAGCACCACTTTTTAACTTAGAAAACATTAATAATATAGAAAATTTTAATAATTTAACTATTTATATTATATTATAATTATAAATAATAATATGTCCTAAATCCTTCTTATTTTTTAATCTGTACTCACATTTTGAATGTCTATTTTCAAAAATGAATTGCTTTTTACTTTTAGTAAAAACCTTTAAATTTGGTATTTGTTTTTAACTCTTTTTTCTTTACTCTACTAAATATTTGTAACTCTTAAAAATAAATATTGTACCGTTAAAATATATGATAAGTTTCTTTTTTCCTATCTTTAACTACTTTAAAATATTTACTCATATGTTAAAATATAATTATCTAATTTATATTTATTCAATCTCCATTCAAAATTTTCATATTTTAAGTTGTATATTTATTTTTTTTGTTTCCTCATAATATTTCATTTTATTTTTGTCAATTATTGTTTTTATTCAATGTGTGAATTAATTTTAGTTTTAATGTTTTGTTTTAATAAATAAAATATGTGGAGCCCACAAAAATGTAAAGTATGATAACATGGATGCTGATGTGGACACCCTAGATGGAGAGAAGACTCTCTAATTATATATATAGATTTTTGTTATGAAAAATGTAGTAAATTGTTCAAAAAAAGAAGGGTACCACAAAATCAAGAGAAGGTGCATTTGTACAAACAGAAAGCCACAAAACATTAGAAGAGAATAAATGTATTGAGAGCCCATCATCATCAATCTGACCCCAAAGCAAATTTATGATAAAAAAAATTATTTTGAAGAAAAAGTCAATGTCTATCCTTTCCCTCAGAGTCCCAGATAACAACAATCCAACATTATTGATATGTGCTACTCTTAAACAACAAAACTAAATAGATTGTTAACCAAGTAATGATCTAAAACACTATATGTATCAAAGATAATGAGGAGTAGTGGTGAAGTAGGTGAAGTCATGGTGGTGGACCCTTAGCTGCTTTAGCCAAGAATCTGCTACGCTCAAAAAGCAAAGCAATCTATCATTGTCCCATAGCTTCCCTTGCATCTTGTAAGTGGCCATCCCAAATGCACTCACACTTATCCTCTCCCTCTCCTCCTCTTTCTTCACATCTGTTTCCAATGCCAAAGGACTTTAGAAATGAATATACTAAAACATTAATACACATCCAAGAGGAAAGTGAAAATGCACCTTGGAAAGATGAAGAAAGCGTGTGGTAAGTCAGGAAGCAAGTAGACAAGTCTTTTATGCTTCTATTCATGGGAATGTGATAGATTGGATACCTACACATACAATCAAACATCATCACCATTTTAGTACATTAACCTTAATTTTGCTTTCTGAAACAACACAAAGAAGAAAAGGCAGACCAAGCAACAGCCATCCAACTCGCAGGAGACAGATCAACACTTCTCAATGACCTCAACCCTACGTGTCTTTCTCCCAACTCTTTGATCTGAAAGTAGACAAGAGACTTATGGAATCATAAAACAATGAAAGAAAGAGCTTCAAGAATCAACTCCAAGAATGGGGAAAGAGCAACAAACCTTATCCATGAGAGGGACTCTAGAGTAAGGTGTACATCTCTCGAAATACTGCAAGTAAGAGTAACCGAGGCGATCGAGAGGTTCTTGATGATCAAATCCTTCCTCAGACGAAGAACATCCTTCCCATCTCCACTCCTCACTACATGACTCACTCCCTGAATCCCCTGATTCCGTCTCCTCCCTAAATCATCATTCATCGCAGCGACGACATTTTAGATTCATAAATATGTGTTTATGTTTATGAAAATGACATAATGATCGTTACCTTAGAGCATTGAGAACAGAATGAGAGGTGAAAATCTGGATTGCAGAGAGGTAAGGAACATAGTACTGGACCAATGTCTCGCCGGTTTCTGAGACAATGGGGACACCTGCACCGTAAGCGCTCCACTCGTCGAAACAATCCCAAAAATCTCCCAACCTGAAATACTCTACGCTCTGGCTCTCCAAAGGGTACCATAGACTATTCAGGTTCTTGATCTGTGTCTGCCAAAACACACAGTTTCAGATCCTAAATTCAGAGAATTGTTTAAGAAAAAGAAAAAAGGGTGAACCTTTGGGAGGGAATAGGCAGGCACAATTGGTGTAGTGCAGCGTAGGAATCGGTCTAGGTTGGATTCATTGTCAAAAACCATCATTATCCAACAAAGAACCAAACTTCGACCCAGAAAAAAAACAGAGAGGAGAGAGGAGAGTTTTGCGGGATTCTCTTTCCCTGACGTTTCAAAGAGCTTAACTTTCGGACAAAAGTGTTTGCTTTATTAGACGAGCATTTGAGACTTTCACGGCAATGTCAGAAACCGGGAAAGATTGAACGAAAAGGGACAAACTTTTTAAAGAAAACTCCAACGGAACTCTGTTCTGAGAAATGTGGAAAAAAAAAACAAGTAAATGTATCTCTACTACTTTGAGATAAAAAGAAAGTTAGGAAATAGGTTTATATAAAAACCAAACTCCATGTGACCCATTCTTCTAAGGCAGGAGATTATTGGTAGATTCACCTGTCTTTCTCACAACTCTCCACCTTCTCCATTTATTTTCATTTCATTTAATAAATACATAATTAGCTTTGTCGGATGAGATTGAGTTTGTTTGTTTGGGTTAGTATAAAACGTTATGGTTTCTTAATGTCTTTTTGCATAGTTCGTGAACAACACAACAAAAAACAGAGCTATTACCAAAGAAAGTCTCCTTCTTTTGGATACATCTTCAAAAGAAGAGAAACTGGGTCGATCACATAACAAGACTAAAAAGAAAAACTGGGTCAATGACTCCTTCATATGGTTTAAAAGAAGATGTGTGACAGGATCAGTTGGCAATGTTGTAAACCAAGCAATTGGTTAAAACCATTTACTATACAAGTTTGACACATTCAAATAGTACGACATGGGGATAATAAAAGTACGGAAACGCTCTTTGACTTTTATGGAGTTCTTTCAAATTCTATCGACAACTGTAGAATATGCCGCTAGTCACGTAAATGTAATAAAAAAACATTAAAAAAAACAAAGATTTGATCGGAGTAGAAAACTGTAGAAAGGGTCAAATTTGAAGGTTGCATTTCTTTTACCAACTTCGAAAGTAAGAGATCAAACTCTTTCAAAGTGGAAGCCGTCGTCTCGCTGACTCCTTCTTCAGTTTTTTTTTTTTACTTGTATTTGAAGCCAAATAAATCTGCAGAATTCACGGTTTCAATATGAGAAGAAAAGAGGATTTTAAATAATAAAAGAAAAGTGAGAGAGAGAAAAGAATAAGACCTGGTTGCACAAAAGCCCATCAACAAATTTGGGTCTATATATCACAACCAAAAATTACTAATTAGGCATTTGTGGCAAATGTCGTGACTGATCATCAAGCAATAATTCACCGCCAATACTAAAGATGCCACCAGACTTTGTAGGCTCTCTTTTTAGCAGATGAAGTACTTTGTTTAATGTAACCATAATTAGCTTGAACCATTTCACTCTAATCTATATATTACACACTTTCTCTCTTCCATCTTCCCTCCACAAACCAAACATTCAAGCTCTTACCATTTATTCTCTACTAACACAACAATGGCTTCTACTCTGCAAAATCTGATTCTGACCACAATTTTTCTGGTAAGCCTGCTTCTTGGATGTACAGAGGAAGTAAGCGGAATGCGTTACATTCCCAACTCCCCCACTCCGAGTGAGAGCAAACATTCAGACTTTCTTGTGAACATGGTGCCTCAACCATCTGGTCTCATTCCTGGTTTTGGAAGGTTCTTGCTTCCTCCCACACCTAAGCTTCCATTCCTTCCTTACAAAGATCCCCTTGCTGCTGCCCCAACCACTTCTCATGGAATTCCTATTTGTTTTTCTCCAAACCCTGGATATAAAGCTCGCAGTCCGAGTTCAAGAGAAGATCAAGTTCCACCAGTGCCACAACCATGACCTGTCAACAAATAAGCATTTGCTAGATACAAAAGAGTCTTCAATTCTGGTTTACACAACAAGTTTACTAGTCATTTCATCAGAGTCATATATCTTTGTGATCTCTCTCTATCTCTTCTAAGTAAGATATTGAATGAATTTTAGAGCTTTTGCTTACATACTATCTAAAAATAATGAGAATATTTCCAAATAAAATGTAACGACTCCTCCACATTGCTTATATGATGGGCTTTATCTCTTCAATTGAATCATTCTTGTCTAATATAACAATTTCTGAGTGGATCATAATCTCAGCATTAGCTTAGCATTACCAAAACCAACGATAACTTCGATGACAAATCAAATTTGGAAACTTATAAAAGAATGCGATAATGGACAAAGAAATGTCTTTTCGAATTGAAGTTTCTCTGTAATCCATAGCGAATTGAAAAAACGATCACCATGACCAAAAAAAAATTCAATGCAGGTTCTTTCACGCACCCAATACCTTGAAGATGATGAAACATAGGAAGCAGAAAAATATAAAGAGGAATAGATAATCAACGAACACGAAGAAGTTCGTTGATCCATGGTTTCGGTTTTTCATCTTCATCTTCTTCTTCTTCTCCTCTATCTCCTCCTCATCAATGGGCTCAATCTTCGCCATTGTATTCCCCGTGACCAATACGCCGATCAAGTTTTAACGGGATTCCGAGATTGATTGGTCTTCTTCTCCGATCTATTTCGTCGCTCGTGTTTTCCCTCTGAGATACTATAATAACTTGAGCATGGTAGGCCCATTTAGGACCATTTAATAATGAGAAAAGCCCATATAACGAAATAGTGTTGACTAGTCAAACTTTGGCAATGAAACGATCTTTTTCTACTTCTCCTCCCTCTTCTTCCTCTGTTTCACCAGTCTCTTTCCAGCTACAAATGAGCAGCCACGACCATCGAAGGTTTGGAACGGCGGGTCCTTTAGCAGCGGGGGAAGAAGGAGAAGGACGTTTTGAGAGCTCGGTGAATGCGGTGCCGTTTGGTTTGGTTGCGACCGGAGTTTTAATCGCTATCTTCCTCTTAATTGCTATTTTTGAGAGGTTCATCTTCATTAGTCCAACTCAATCACCACCTCTCGACCAAAAGTTTCCTCCTTTTGCTTCCCCCAAGGTTCATAATCTCTCTTCTCTATTTGCTTTTATATTTTCGCCTACGTTTTTAGTTCTGTTGGCTTTTACTTAGTCTTTTAACACAAGTGCATAAACAAAAAGGCTGATTCGTTTGGAACATCTAATGAGGTTGTGACCATCCAATATTTGTGATCACAACTATGCTTGAGTTTGTTGGATGGTGAGATTAAGATGAAATAAACTTGCCAGTGCATATAGGTTATTAAGTTTAAAGAAGTCTATCAGTCAGGATCATATGATTTACCAGGGTTTATGCTAGAGGAAGCTCTTTTGTCGTATCTTAAAATAGTTGCCAAGTCCAAAACAGGATTACATTAAATGTATTATTTTATGGGGATACAAAACCCCTTGATTCATGCAACGAGGTTTGAATATACGCAGAGTAGAAAATAAGATATGTTAAGAGGATTTTCACTTATTTTGTCTACTACACACTAGTTGTCTTTTGTGTGATGATGATGTCATGTATAATCTTGTGTTGTTTGTTTGTAGATGGATGTGTGTAAGAGAGAGATATCGGTGTTGATGCCTGGAGAAGATGTCCCAACTTTCATTGCTCAGCCATGTCCTTCTTCATCATCATCAAGCTCTTTCTGAAACCTTCTTGAATTTCATTTTTACCATTAGTATCACTCTTATTAGGACTTTATATCTCCTATATTGTCAACCAAAAAAAACAAAAAGACAAAGTGTTTATGTAGTCAAGTGTTGTTAAACAGAACAGTGTTCTCTGTTTGTGTCTGCTTATCCCATAGCAAAAGAGCAGCAATCTCCATAAAATAAAGCCATGGAATTTGTGAAGCGTTAGTTGTTGCGTAGGCTTGCCTTTTACTTTACGAGTCAATAAACAAACCAAAAACGAAGATCCGCAAAAGATTTGGTTAATAATATTACACATTCCGCAATTTACAAATCAAAAAAGGGAAAAAAACAATCAATCACATCAGAGTTAATAATGATGAAAGTAGAAGAGATCATCAGAGAAAGATGAAGCATTCCATGGACACTTCAGGGTCTCTCACAGTTGTTACATCTTCTTCCTTCTTTACCTCAACAGTTACTTTTGCCTCTTCTTCTTCTTCCTTCTTCTTCACCTCTGTTGCTCCGTCTTTCTCCGGAGCTCCTACTCGTTTCTTCATGGGGCTTCTTCTTGCAGAACTCGGGCCACGAGTGGCTGGAGACTGTGAGCGACGCCTTGGATTATCCGATAACCCGCTCCGTGGGAGTGGACCGGAGTCCACATTTCGCCGGTTGTGAGTAGGGTTTGGTTGACGAGACTGTCTCTCTCGGACTAACCTGGGACGGAGCTGCTTCCCTTGAGGAGAATGTCTTTCTGCCGGAGATCTGAGGACTCTTTCAGACCTGTTGCGGCGAGAGGTGGAAGAAGAAGGAGGAGGAGGACGGTAGGGTTTGCTGAGAGCATCGTCTTCGAGTATGGAAGCAGCGGTAGCAGTAGTGGCGGTGGAGTAGCTGTGAGAGACAGAGACGCTGCAAATGTCGGACTTGTTTTGAGAGATCTCCGGAGCTGGTGGTGAGAGAGGACGAGGAACTTGAGCTTCTGAATCTGAGACTGTTGGTGCGGAAGGAACGAGGTCGGGGACTGGGATAGGGACAGGGACGGAGATGGGTACGGGGACGGAGACAGAGACCGATTGGACCACGACTTCTTTTACGGATTCTTCTTCAATGGGTGGAGGAACTTTAGCGGCGGCGACTGGTGGAGGTGTGACTTTTCCGGCGCTGAAGCAGCATCCCATTTCTTTCTACTTTTGCTAATGCTTTTCTCTCTCTCACTACTACTCTCTCGACTCTCGAGAGTCAAGATATGACAACTCTAATGGGCCTGTTTCTCATGTTGGCCCATATTCACACTCTGGGCTCGATTATGCTTTTTGTTTTATCCACTTGACGAAGAATCTGATATTTGTCTCATTCATTCATATCTTCAAGACAAAACGCTAGTGCTTGATTTTCTTTAAAATATTCAAAGAAAATTCAAAATTATGCGGATGGACGGCAAATATCTCGTTTGATAGCGACCCATCATCGTTGGGACAATTTCAAAACAGAACAAGGACATGCCGATTGCCTTGGACAGAGACATGTAACCAAAGTAAGTAAAATACTCAATGCTTATAATATCATCATCTTCCTTTTGGTTAGTCGAGACTGTAGTAGAAGATCAAGAAATGGCTATCATTTTTAGCTCATCATCCATCCACTACGTTGCATTTACCTCATTGTCGAATAAGAACGGGTCCAGCAATCCTTAGTTGGTTTTTGTGTTTATTAAAACTTGAAGTGGAAAGAACCTAACATTGTTGCTTCAAAAACTTAAGTAGAAACTAAATTATAGTTGAAAACAAATAAAGTAGAAATCAGAAAGGGCCAAGGCTCATAAACTTGTAAAACCCAAGCCCATAATAAATGTTTTGAATCCATTAGTTCACTCCCATCCGCTATTCTTTTGTTTGGGAACAACTAGGAGGAAAGAGAGTATTTACTATTTAGACTTGAATTCAAAAGTAAATATGTGATGCAAAAATTGTGTTGACAACTTATTCATATTCATGTCTCTGTAAAGATGTTGACATTATTATTCCCATTATTATTTCATTTTCTACAAAAAAAAATTGGCGACATTTTCTTCAATTCCCATTTATCCATTATGTACTTTTTTTTTTCAACCCATCCATTGTGTATGTACTTAAGATAACATATATACCATATAAAACTCATATGGTCTACTACATACAAAACTACTCTCCTACTAAGTATTAAAAAAATGAGTTCCTCGAACACATAGCTACAAATGTAGATATGACATTGGGGTTTGAGCTCATTGCAGAATACCTAACAGACATAGATGTCAATGACGTCGTCGTCATGTACTTGGTTACTAGTTGTTTTATAGACAACTAGTTGATTAAACCTCTTTTTTCAATTAAAGAAACCAAACTTTATATATTTCTTCAACTTTTATTTATATAAAAAAATAGCCAATGGGGGTAATGAAATGACTCGGTAACCAATGAATCCTGATGAAAGGGAAGAGCCCAAGAATTTGCAGAACCTCAAAGAAAAAAAAAGGACTTTGAAACTTCAAAATCAAGAAGGTGAGAAGTAAGTACAAGAAATGAAAAAGGAGTTATGACATTATAAAATCAAGAGGACCTGAAACACTTGACACAACTCTATTCCTCAACTTCTTCTCTCTTGTGTCTTATCAAAGCCTCTCTCTCTCTCTCTCACCCACCACCGCCTCTGTTCTGCTCTTATCAACCATAGACATTCTCTCTCTCATCCCTACATACATACAATGTTATGTAGGTGATAGATACTAGTATAACATTAGTGTATATAAACATTAATATAATGGAGAGGTCCCATGCCCCACGAGTTTTGTTTTGTTGGCCAGCTAATTCGCATCCTTTTTGTTTTGTTCTGTATAAGAGTTTCTTTGTTACTAGTATAGTATAACCACAAGGCCAAAGAGAGAGAGGCTAAATAAAAGGCGCTCTCTTTCTTATTAAATTTCTCTCTCTTCTCTTCTCCCGAAAAGCCCTTAATAAGCTTTTGCTTTGATATCAGATCTCTCATACGGCTTTTGAGATGCGTGCTCCTTTAGGGCTTTCCTTTTATACCCCAAAACGAGGCCTTTCCTTCTTCTCTCATCTACTAATTCTAACCTCTTCCTCTTCTTCTTCCTTGTCTCTCTCAACTTTTTCTCATACGCTATAAGGAGAAATCTCAGAGAGAAGAGAGAGTGATGGCGAGTAATGAGGAAGAGATGCAATGTGGGTCAATGTTGTTCAAGCAAGAGGAGCTACAAGAGATGAGTGGGGTCAATGTTGGTGGCGATTACGTTGAGGTCATGTGTGGTTGTACCAGTCACCGATACGGCGATGCTGTTGCTAGACTTAGGGTTTTCCCCACCGGTGACCTTGAAATCACCTGCGAATGCACACCTGGTTGCGATGAAGGTCTCTCTTTTTCTATCTACAGTCTCTTCCTCGTGTCTTTCTGATGCTTTTGGCCAAATGGGTTTTGATTTGTGTGCATGTTACATGTGAATGTGTGTGAGATTAAACGTTGTTGCCTCTCGCTTTCTCTTTCTCAACTCTCGAGATGCTTCTAATATAGTATAAGGCAACGATGGTATTTGCTCTTCTCTTTAGGTGGTGTGGTTTTCTTCTAGCTCTTTGTTTTCATGGGTCCTTTGGTTGGTCTCTGCTTAGCTACTATCACATTGGGCTGGTAAAGCTGAAGACTTTATCATGATAACGAGTCTTAATGTATGCTAGATCCGTTCTTGTAGAAAATGAAATGACTTGATTTGATTTGCCATATTAATGTTTTAGGCCGTCTGTTTATCTGTAATGATAATGCGTCTCTTTGTTATTGGCCAAGTGGTAGCTTTATTGACATATGATATCTCTCGGTTAGCTGTACGTGTATGCATACCTCTGATGTCAAAGTTTGATGCAACCTAGTTCTTGTGGTATCTTGTAGCTACCAATGCCATCTCTAGCTTTTCTTGGTATAGATGCTCCATTAGAGCTCTATTTGAAAGTAAAAAATGATTTGACTTGAACATTTTTGATTGTATGATGGTAGACAAGTTGACACCAGCTGCATTCGAGAAGCATTCTGGAAGAGAAACAGCTAGGAAGTGGAAAAACAATGTGTGGGTTATCATTGGTGGCGAAAAGGTTCCATTGTCAAAGACAGTATTGCTCAAATACTACAATGAATCATCAAAGAAGTGCAGTAGATCAAACAGATCACAGGGAGCCAAAGTTTGCCATAGAGATGAGTTTGTTGGGTGTAACGAATGTGGTAGAGAGAGGAGGTTCAGGTTGAGGAGCAGAGACGAATGCCGCTTGCACCACAATGCAATGGCTGATCCAAACTGGAAATGCTCAGATTTCCCATACGACAAGTTGGTTTTTTTTGTTGTCCTTGTATGTACTTAAGTTTTATTATGCAAATGATGGCATTATGATATTGAATGGTGTGGTGGTTGCAGGATAACATGTGAGGAGGAAGAAGAGAGAGGAAGCAGGAAGGTGTACAGAGGCTGCACACGTTCACCTAGTTGCAAAGGCTGCACTTCCTGCGTCTGTTTTGGCTGCGAGTTATGCCGTTTCTCTGAGTGTACTTGCCAGACTTGTGTCGACTTCACCAGCAATGTGAAAGCTTGAAGAAGGCATCCACTAAGAAAGAAAAAAATGTCTGTCTCAGACTTTGTTCGGTGCATTTAATAACTTTATTCTAAAATTCCAAACTGTTTGATCTTATCTATGGGTGGTGAATGGAGCAATTGAAAAAAAGTAGAAAAAAGTTGATTTCCAAGAAGAACATGCAGACGAGCATGCCTGAGTTTAGTGCATGTATTGATTTTTGGCTAGTGGCAGAGAAAAGTGTTATTAATAGTTTGTTGTTACCCTTTATTTTATTAGCTGTTGACAGCTTTGTGAGACGAAGTTGTCAATGGCACAGCTACTATGGTCTGTGATTTAGGAGATGGGACATGGAAAGAGACATTTTCTTAATACCCAAAAAGCCCTGACCTCTTGTTTTGAACACAGTAACCATATGGAATCTCATAAGTGATGTATACTTTTATTATCAACAACAAACAACAGGTTGAATTTTTAAAAACATAAAGACCAAGTCGTCACCAAGTAAAGAGGATATGAGAATCTGTTACATTTGACGTAAATTCATTAGAAACATGTGAAAAGGTGAAACCAAAGACGCAGAGGCATGAGCTTCAACATGTTTTTATATCAAAAATGTGTTTAGTGTATAAACTAGAATCATAGAGCAGTACATCGACTCCTGCTCTTTTACAACCAAAATTCATTTCTTAAGGATCACATAACTGAAACCAACATCCACAAATGCGGGGCAAACATAGAGTTTCCTCCATCAACCTACCTACAAATCAGATCAAACTATGAAATCAGCCGATTCCTTCAGAGTCTTTCTCGCGCGCCAATACACTCCATTGGCCGTCTCTGATGTTCCCAACTGCAATAAATACCAGAAACATGGTCAGTTAGAGTACTTGAAATTAAATTTTAGTCAGGGTGCTAAGAATCCACTTTACCTTTGTCTCCAATAAGTAGTAATTCTTCCACAGCTCCACGTCTTGACTGTAACTTGCAACAGCAGAATCATACAGCTTCCGGGCATTACTGAGACCATCTTTATCACCCACTGATATAAGGTTGGTCTCTATTTCAATGCAATCTTTGTATAGAACAAGACTGGGACCAGGAAGAGCCAAGAACCTGAAGATTTACGGTAACAGTGGTGAGAATAAAGTGCATGGGTGACTCAAGGGAATGGAGTAGGACTGTAGGAGTAGTGACTCACCTCTTGTATATCTTCCTCGCACTGTGGCCCCCTTTTGTTTCAAGAACAAATTTCACCACCGTGGAAGAAAGAGAAAACACATGGTCGCTCCCATGGCTTTTGGTTGCTGATAGGATGGACATCTCTATAAGTTTGTCCAAATAAGTTCTCTGATGAGCAAAGAATTTAAAAGCCTGCAATACAATAAGCATTTTATTAGTGTAGTTTTAACAAACTAGGGTATTGTCTAGAAAATATATTCGTCACATACCATTAGCCACAATCTCTCAGATTCTGAGATTGGTACTTTCCTCAAAGCATTTGAAATGAGCTCAAAGACTGTCTGCAATTCTGCTTTACTAGGAGTTGAGTTCCCTGAAAGTGATCTTATTTCAATGGAAACTCTTGAAAGCCACAACTTAGCTGATCCAGCAAATTTTCCAGAGCAAAGTTTTTCTGCTAGCTTCTGAGCTTCATGAGTCTTTCCCAGTTTCAAGTACAGAGAAACATATTCATCAGCAAGTTCCTCAGTCAAACACCCGGTTTCATCAGCCTTTTGGTACACGGTTATGATATGTGAAATGCAGTCCTCAATTAGATTAGACGAAGGGGAAATTTCATCATCATCACCATTTGACTGTGCAATAGCCTCCATCAAAAACTTTATATAAATCTCAAACATAGAACTTGAAGTAACGGTTTGCAAGCCCTCTTCAAAAACCTGCATTCAGGAACAAGGTTTAAGACCTATCAGATGTTGTCCTTTCTAGTTTCTAATAGTAAACCTAAACAGCTTGTGCTTGAGTAAGATAGGACAGTCCAAAAGAAAAATCCTCCATAACCAATGTTCCTCCTGTCCTCTCGACATTATTAAACTAGGGAATTCGACTTCAAGTTCAAACAAAAAAGAGTGAGAGGAAAGTTAAGACTCAAATTCTAAATCTGTTTTATGAAAGTGCAGGCCAACTATGGCTGTCACTTTCTTCAACAGACTTCACCATTTAATGAATATTTAACCCCTAGTTATAAGCATATACACAATTCAAGATGAGTTTTACCTGAATAGCCTTTTGCATTTGAGGATTCGCAAACTCTAGGCCTGCCTCTTTGTTAATACAACCACTCATTTCATGTCTTGCAAGCCAGTTCCAGTATTCAGGGTCCTTGCAAAAATCACGCTTCAGGTCACTTAGAATCGTATTGCGGATTTCATCTGAATGCGCCAAGTCCGTTGCCTCTAGAATCTCCAAAAACCGCTTCCTCAATTCAAAACTAGATGGAAGAGCCTCAACAGCACCACTATAGATTGTCTGAAGAACATTGGAACCTTTTTCCCGAAAAACATCAACTTTCTCAGTCACATCCTCAACATCTTCAACATTAGAGTCCTCATCCCCATCCTCTTCTTTTTCATTTCCTTCTTTCTCATCTAGCGACATAAACAACTCTTTGTTTTCATCTTTCCATTGCTCATCCTCGACGGTTTTTGTGTCACGCACCAAACTACCTTTACCTTCACCAAGAGCAACTCTACGAGCTTTCAGCTTATTCAGGTACGTAAGTTCCATTCGCAGATACTCTAACCACAAGTCTTCAGAGTTTGAACAAACTCTCAGCCCATTCAGCATAAGAGCACGAGCTGCAGTAACATTCAAATTTCTATCAAATTCCCAAGACGCAGCATATATCCACACTCCAGCTACTTTTGGATGAAACCTTATTGCTTGAGCCAAGGCCTACACATATTTCAGATAATATGAACTCAATTTAAACATCAACACATACCCAACAAAGACCAATCATCGACTAAGCAGTAATAAAATCAAATTTCAAAGCTTTTTACCTTCTTCATTCTTCCATGCCTCTTCTGTTTACAAAACTCGAGATACCTAAACCACAAATTGATATCACCTTTATACCTCATAGTCGCCAATCTATAAATCTCCACAATCCTAGCCACACCGGCGTAATCAGAAACCGATTTCTTCTTTCTCTTCTTAGACTCATAAGCCACCGCTTTCCTCCGTAGCTGGCGGAGCTCATCGAGCTTAACCTCATAGTCAATATAGGCTATGAAATCCTCTTTGAGTGGGCTTGGTCGCTTTAGCCGGTACTCGAACTTACGGCGCTGCTTCACGATCTCAGCTATCTCTGTACGAGTGAAGATTCCTCTTCGTTCTAGATCATCAAGCTCGTCAACCATCCGCTCGAGGCGGTATTGAACGACGTCGGCCATTGCTGCTGCTTCTCGATTCTCGGCGGGGACTGTAACGGTAGGGCAAACGCTAAATGCTTCTTCTTCTTCTTCTTCTTCAGTTCTTATATATATGGGCCGTAAGAGTAAGAAGCTATTGGGCCTAAGTTTAATTATTACGGCCCAATGTTAAACTGTTGTTATGAGCTACTAGGACTCAGGACCCCCGCGATGTTGCGGGGGAATATATTTCAAAAATCATTTAGAAAAATATCAAACGAAAAAATTATAATGAATTGTAATAATTTTGAATTTTTTTAATAACAAATCAATATATATTTTACAAAAATTATGATAAAGAAAACCCTCACAAGCATTTATTAAGTATATTAATATTAGAAAAACAATAATTTGTAACTAAAAAACTATTCCCAAGTGCAAAAAGCATAAACTAATAAACCAAATATTACAATGGTTTGATAAATAAGCCAAAACGTTCAACGTCAAATAAACCAAATGCTATTGTGTTAAATTAAACGATAACAACAATTCATTTAAATATATTTTAGTATTTAAATATTTTTTAAAAAATATGACGAACTTATCCGCGGAACGCAACCGTAGATATCAAATATTCCAAAAACTATGCATCCTCTGTCTTTCCTAGTACGTTTGTGCTATGGCTTTTTATCAAGGGACTGGATAGTCCGAGTGTCACATGTGTATAGGGAGGCTAACCGCCTAGCGGACGGGTTAGCAAACTATGCATTCTCATTGCCGTTGGGTTTCCATTCTTTTAATTCTCCACCGAATGTTGTTAATCCGATTTTGTTGGAGGATGCTAATGGAGCTACAAGGCCTCGTTATGTTCGTTTGTAATTTCTTTTTGATTCTTTAATAAATTGCGGGAGACAATTGTCTCCCGTTTCACGACCAAAAAAAAAAAAATATTCCAAAAACTGCAACGGTTCGTCAATTATACCAAATGTTGCAATAGTTCATCAAATATACTAAAGAGAACAATGGTTCGTAACACAAAACCAAAAGTTGCAATAATTTGTCAAATAATCCAAATGTTGAAACAGTTCAATTAAATAGTTACAATCTCATTTAAATACATTTTAGTAATTCAAAATTAAGAATTAAAATAATAATTTATGAAAAGTTACACCGAGAGACGCGGCGGTAGATAATTAAATGTTATAGCTATTTATAAAATAAACCAAAAATTACAATTGTTCGTGAAATAAACTAAATATATAAACCAAAGATTGCAATTGTTCGTAAAATAAACTAAATATTGCAATGATTCGAATAAGCGGTTTCAACTGTTTATGAAGAGTTACAATAAAAAACGCAACCGTAGAAAACATTCAAAATGCAATTTATAAAAAAAAAATAACCGTAAAATATTTATTTTAATTAATAAAAACATTAACGAAAAGTTGCGATAAAAAGACGCAACCGTTCAGATGTGCAAATGGTATTTATTAGATTGCTATTATATATAGATTTGTTGTTGTTCTTGGGAAAAGCTTGAGAAGTTGAAGACGACGATGACGCTCTTAGCTCTCTCTTCGTCTCTTTCTTCTTCTTCCTTCTTCTGCCGCAATTCAAGAATTCATTTCTCTCCGGTGTCGCGTCTTTCTTATCTTAATGGTGATAGTAAGCTTACAATTGCTCCGCCACAGTTTTTAAACGCCGGCACGAGTCTCCGTTGTTTCGGGGTTCCGGGGATGTTTCCGAGTGTGAGACTTAGGGTTTCGACGAGGTGCGAGAAAGAAAATGCACCTAACGGTGGGATTGAAGATGAGGCGGAGCGATTTGCGAGGCGAGAGAGCACGATGCCTGATAGATTCAGATATTTGACCAAAGAAGCTCCGGATAGCCCAATTATCTGGCCTTGGTTTGTTGGTACGTCTCTGCTTACTTTTAGCTTAGTTTGAGTGACTGTGGATCATAAGTCTTGGTCGGATGAAGAGAAAAATCAAATTTTTGGATTTGAAAATTCAGTATCGATGCTGTTTTTGTTCTCATTTGTGACTCAGGGTTTGATTTGTTTTAGTTTTACCCCTGAGATTGTGAATTAAGGGATTATCCTGTGGTTTAGTGAATTCGAGGTTTCGTGTGCGTATACCTTGTTGCATAGTTCGATTAGGGGAATATATCTGGTAACTTGAATGAGCTCTGGATAGATGAAGTAACATCTTGTTCTTCTGTTGCAGCGCTCGGGTTTCTCGTTTATGCGTGGAGAGCAGTCTTGTTTGAACTATCCAACTGGAGAAAGGCGGCTTTCGCTATCCTTGGGTTTGTGGGAGACCTTTCGAAGTTTGCATTGGCCCTTGTCTTCCACTTTATAGGCGATCCCATCACTTTTCTCATTAGCCTTGTAGAGACTGCAATGTACAGTGTCAGGGCGTTCTATTCCGGGATTGTGGCTTATACCCCGGTGAGAGAGTTAACCACGGTGATCCTCCTTGCATCGTCAGTGCTTGCTATAGGAGAAGCAGTTGAACCAAACTCGATCAGCAAGCAGCCGTATGTGGTAACTATTGCGGGTCTCGTGGGGTATGCAGCGGTGCAGAGTTACATTTCAGAGCCGTTCTTCTGGACTGTCTTGTTGGGTTTGTATGGGTATTCGCGGTTGATAAAGAAGAGAGATGATGTGACCTCTGCTCTTCCTTCTGCAGCTGTTTTGGCAGGAGTAGGGGAGCCATGGGTGAGAGTGGTGGCTATCACAGGGTATCTGGCTCTAGCCATGTATCACAATTCAACTAAGACCTCCTCAGAAGAAGAGAGTCAGAGCTTAAGGAGGGCACCACCAATGCCGTTGTTGGCTGCAGCATTAGCCATTGGCGTCCGACTTGCTGCAAAATGGGCTGGATACAGACACTTGACTTGGATGATTGTTTGATTCTCTGGTGAAACAAAGAACTTTAGAGACCAACAAAACTAGTTTGTGTTGTACTTGTACCTTTTCCCCAATGTTTGAAGAGAATTTTTGATAATACAAGAAAAAGATTAGTTCTCTGTTTGGATAATGTTAGTTAATACGGCCCATTAGTATAAAAAGCCCATAGCGAGGACTGGTGGTGGGCTATTTCTTAGCTAAAAGCCGTCTAAGTAGATTTGCGGCTATTATTAGGGCTTCGCAATGACCCTTCTTTATAAAGGAGTCACCTTCTTCTTCTTCGAATTATTCGTTGTCTCTGGTTTTTGGATCCTGTTGTTTGTTCGTCAATGTGTTTTTTGATTCTGTTGTATGGTTTTTGGGGTAGAAAGGATATGTTTTTTGATTGCCTCACATCACCTTTAGCTTGTTTTCGATATAAAACCACGAAAACAAAGCTAGTCATCGAGGCATATATTGAATTTGCGGTGTTAAAACGTGGAGGCATACTTGTTCATAGTTTGTCCTCTAAAATTATCCGCTAAACCACTTCATTTTCTTATCTTGGTTTTTATTTTTTTGGATCCCAGATCTGGTTGGCTTCATTTCAGATTGGCTAATTATGAATCAAAATTATTTGGAACCTGTGAATTATATTAATTGCATGTTCTTAATCTGGTCGAGTCCGATGTGAATTGGGTCTATGGCTAAACAAACAAAAGCGAGACAGCTTGAACTAGTCGGAATAAATCTGTATCCTTTTCACAAGTCTACCTGGTGGTTAAGTTAGCAAATAATATTGAGGAATTATTTGACAATATCATTTGTTCTTAATTTGGTTGACTCCGATGTGAATTGGATCGATGGCAAAACAAATAAAAGCGAGGACAGCTTGAACTAGTCGGATTAATTAGAGTTACCATTCATTCTTGTGGGCTGTGGGAGTGTACTGATTTATAAATTGACCATTTCTACCAATTCATGTGTTACCACATAAACATGATACTGTATCTTTTCACAAAAGGTTATTTGGAGGAAATTAAGTATTGAGTTTATCCATCCATGTGCAGCTCCCTGAACACTAATCACACTTATCCTGGTGGTTTAGTTAACAAATATTGAGGGAGTTGGTTTAAATTATTCACGATTTTCACATGGCACACAAGCTTTCAATTATCAACTTGAATAATCAAAATCCAGCAGATAAAAAAAGGAGACTTTGTACGTAGCACATCTGGATTCTAAAAGACACTAAGCTAATTAGCTAAATGCGTTTTTAATTAGAGAAACTTTCTGGTCCCCAAGAAAAGTCGCCAAGAAAGATCAGTACTTGAACTTGGTCAGAGGTATTTCCCATTTCTCCTGGATCTCTGCAACTTGCCCACTCAGAATCAAACCTCTTCTCTTGAGGAGACTTTCACCAAAATGACATTACTTTCCTCTCTCGGAAGAGCCTCTCGATCTGCCCCACTTGCCTCTAAGCTCCTCCTCCTCGGCACTCTCAGGTTTCATTGCCTTTCAATGTTCACTATTTCATCTGTTCCCGAAAGTCTGGACCTTTTTTCGTTTTCTCAATCCGATGTATTTCGAATCTTTGACCTTTTACCATCTTTATCTCAAACCATTTCTTTGTATCCTATACTGTTTTGCTTTAATGAAACTCTTTTCCTTTCTGTTTCTGATTAGCTTGTTCTGTAAAATCCGTAGCTTTTTGTTTACTTGAGGTTAACGAAACCTGTCTATCATCATTGGTTATCACGATCTTGTTGTGCTCTCTCTGGACGCCAATTTTTGGAATTGCTCATTGAGAGTGTGTTGTATTCTTCATTTTTTTAGCGGTGGAAGTATAGTGGCATACTCAGATTCTAACGCAGAAGCTAACAAAAAGGAGGAGCAGAAGAAGAAGAAAGTGATTGTTCTTGGGACTGGATGGGCTGGTATAAGTTTCCTTAAAGATCTCGACATAACTTCCTACGATGTTCAGGTTGTGTCTCCACAGAACTACTTTGCCTTTACACCATTGTTACCTAGCGTCACTTGTGGAACTGTTGAAGCTAGAAGTATTGTAGAGTCTGTCCGTAATATAACAAAGAAGGTAACAAAGGCCCCTCTTTCATCAAACTGTATGCAGGCATCATCATCATCTGCTAAGTTTTTACTTAAATAGTATCTGTTATTGTTGGCAGAAAAATGGGGAAATTGAATTATGGGAAGCAGATTGTTTTAAGATCGATCCTGTTAACCACAAGGTTCACTGTCGACCGGTTTTCAAGGATGATCCTGAAGCAAGCCAAGAGTTTTCGCTTGGATATGACTACTTGATTGTTGCAGTGGGAGCTCAAGTTAACACATTTGGCACTCCTGGTGTACTTGAGAATTGCCATTTTCTCAAGGTAACTTTCATGGTTTCAACTTGTAAATGTTAGTCTCCCAGTATCTACCTTTAATACTTCGAGACACTGCAGGAAGTAGAGGATGCACAGAGGATTCGTAGAGGAGTGATTGATTGCTTCGAAAAAGCAATCCTTCCTGGTCTCACAGAGGAACAAAGAAGAAGAAAGCTTCATTTTGTTATTGTGGGAGGAGGTCCTACTGGTGTTGAGTTTGCAGCTGAGCTACATGACTTTATTATAGAGGATATCACCAAAATATACCCTTCAGTCAAAGAACTCGTGAAAATAACACTCATTCAATCTGGAGATCATATTCTGAATTCGTAAGTAAAAAACAGTAATATAGACTTTTTCACCATTTCCTTCAGGCCAGGCTTGATTGTGGAGTTTGACAAGTGCTTGTTGCAGGTTTGATGAACGTATAAGTTCATTTGCTGAACAAAAGTTCACGCGAGATGGTATTGATGTTCAGACAGGAATGCGTGTAATGTCTGTGACTGATAAAGATATCACTGTGAAAGTCAAATCAAGTGGAGACGTCATAAGTATTCCTCATGGATTGATATTGTGGTCCACTGGAGTTGGAACCCGTCCAGTTATCAGCGACTTCATGGAGCAAGTTGGCCAAGGAGGCAGACGTGCATTGGCAACTAACGAGTGGTTACAAGTGACAGGATGTGAGAATGTATATGCAGTTGGCGATTGTGCTTCCATAGCTCAACGAAAAATCATGGTCTGTGAACCCCATTAGACTGTTGATGCTGTTCCTTTTTTTTCATATGCATGCTGAATCTTGATAGATTCTGTGATTAATTTAGGGGGATATTGCAAACATATTCAAAGCCGCAGATGTGGACAACTCAGGAACCTTGACCATGGAAGAGTTACAAGACGTGGTTGATGATATTCTTGTGAGGTACCCGCAGGTGGAGCTCTACCTGAAAAGCAAGCATATGAGGAATATTAACGATCTGCTGGCAGATTCTGAAGGAAATGCAAGGAAAGAAGTAGACATCGAGGCATTCAAATTGGCTCTCTCGGAGGTTGATTCACAGATGAAGACCCTGCCTGCAACTGCTCAGGTCGCTGCCCAGCAAGGTGCTTATCTTGCAAAATGCTTCAACAGGATGGAGCAGTGCAAAGAGCAACCTGAAGGTCCTAAGCGCTTTAGAACTGGCGGGCATCACCAGTTTCGCCCCTTCCAGTATGTCAAAATCTAATAAACTCAGGACCTTGCTCCTCTATAGACTTTCTTATATATAGAGATGAAACCTGTTTGCTTGATGACAGGTACAAGCACTTTGGACAATTTGCTCCATTGGGAGGGGACCAAGCAGCTGCCGAATTACCTGGAGACTGGGTTTCAGCTGGAAGAAGCACCCAGTGGCTCTGGTATTCTGTTTATGCCAGGTAAATGCTGAGAAACTCTATTATTCCTAATAGTAAATGTACAGAACTTAAAAAATGAAACATGAATGATGTGGTGAATGCAGCAAGCAAGTTAGCTGGCGAACGAGAGCCCTGGTGGTGTCGGACTGGACAAGGAGGTACATATTCGGGAGGGACTCAAGCCGCATCTGAGCCAATACTGCATTTTATAATGTGTTTAGAGGAAACCAAGATACAGTCTCTCTCTTTTTTTGTTTGTTTTTGGTGTAAATCTCACAAAGCTGTGGCCAACCTTCTTGTTTGCGAGTGACAAAACAAAACCTTTTGAAAGAATTTTTCTTCATGAAGTGGACATTTACAAAAGATAACAAAAACTCACAATCTTAATGTGTATTAAGACAAGACAATTAAGCATTCCAACAAATATTCTTGCTCTACAGTCTAGATGCAAGCCGAAAAACAAAATCAAAACCAACCAAATTCACAATCAAGTCACCACAACAAGAGTTGAGGTTTTTACTCAAATTGATGATAACCAGATCATTCATTCTTCAAACCTCAGAAGCTGGCAAAAAGTGAAATTACGATCCTTGGCTTGTAATTCCGCAACTCTCTTTGCAGCACCTGAATCACGAGGGCTCCCTCCCACACGACGAAGCGTTCTGATCTTAGGAAGCTCCTTGCCTATAGGAGACTCGTCATCATTCACACCACTGCTATACAGATCAACTTCACTTGGAATCTCCCATCTCTTCTTCACTCTCCCTTCACTCTTGTTACTATTTTCATCAGAAGCTCTTCTCTTCTCCGACCTATGATTATTCTCTTTCTCTTCATTCTCAGGCAACGACCTTTTCCTTACATCTTTCTCTCCAGTCTGCGTTTTTCCCATTTGACTGTACCTACTAGCCACAACTCTTCCTGGTTTCAATGGTTTCCTTAAAGAAACATTCTTTTCATCTTCTTTGAAGAGCCTCTTAGGCTGGATTGATAAGAGAACTCCTTCTTCTTTCTTCACCGCTCTCGTAGACCCCACCGTCGTAGCTGCTTGCTTCTGAGCCGCCGTCATTTTCGCTTTACGAGATCTCGGACTCAGACTCAAACTCGTTCTTCCTTTACCTCTTGTAGCCACTTTACCTTCTTCGATTCCAGGAAGCTTAAAGAAACAAGACTTGCGTCGATTCTGAGCTGATTGAAGAGGAGTCACAGTTTCCGATTTCTTTGCCGAATTGAATATCTCCGCCGGTCCAAGACTAACGCCTCTACGAGTGGCTCTTGATTTAGATCCTGTGAAAGACGAATCATCGAATTTCACTTGTTTCTGAGATTCCATGAACTTCGCAGGAACAATTCTTCCACGTATAGCGATACTTCTTGCGGTGTGCTCAGCCTTCTCTAATCGGAGCGACTCCAATCTCGTCGATAACCGTGCGATCTCCTTCTCTACTTCTTCGATCTCTGCATCGATATCTCTTTCATCACGCTTTTTACTCCGATCTGCGCAGGATTTGGTCTTCCCGATCTTGGATTTTGATGACGGAGCTTCGGTGATCGAGACTGAGGATCGTAGCGAAGAGGAAACCGAAATCGGAAACTGATTCTCCTTGCTACAATCGGAATCGAATGATTCGTTGAGGTGAGACCAAGAAGCTTCAATGGCGGAAGTAATTTGAGAATCTCCATCGTCGAAGGCAGCGTTGTTCCAGATCTGAAGCTTTGGAGGAGCGTTAAGCGTTTCTGTTGCCTCAATTGAAGTCATTTTCAGAGCGAATCGATCTTCTTCTACGAGAAATTTAGGGTTTAGGGAAAGAATTGGGGACACTTGAGGAGGAAGAAGAAGAAGCGAGTATTTCTTGAGGATTATTTGACCGTTGGAAATGAAAGGAGACGTTACTCTTTACTCCATTAAGGAGCGTCGTGAGATTTGGACCGTTAGATGAACCAGACGCGCTCCGATTTCATTCAAAGCCAAAGTTACATTCATGGGCCTTAGCCCAATATTAGCCCAAGAGTTTTATCTCCTATCTCTATGGCAAACATATAATTTGGGCCGATGAATAAATTATTACGTACCTCAATAATGACAACCACTAAAAATAAATAAATATAAACCATTATGGAGTGACTGACTTGTCTGTCTCATTAGATAACGATGTTTTTGGAATCATTTGGTACTATTATTAAATTGAGAATCGCATTTCACTGTGGATAAAGTTGAAATTAGTGGTAATCGCAATCAAGATTCCAGATAATAATCAAACGACGATGTTTTTAGATATAGAAAATGAACAGAGTTCTCATATATTCGAACACTTGCTTTGATCTCTTAGAACATTCTAATATTCACAGAGATGTAACCAAACTATACACAGTTGCATCCAGAAAATCCAACTCAAGAGAGTTTGCATCAGCGATCACAGATGAACCAAACTATATACACTTTGCAATCAGAAAAATCTGATTCAGCGAGTTCATAAGCGAGTCACCATCTGAATTTAGCCTTGAGCCCAGCAGTTGAGGTACATGACTTGGCGGAGAGACTCATCGGGAGCGGAAGAGGAGGTACGACGTCTTTCTTCCGAGGGGAGAGAGTCGCCGGTTAGATCTGCGGCGGCGAGAGGACGGAGATCGGAGGAAAGTCTTCGTTGGAGACGGTGAGCAGAGGTGAGTCCGCTTTTCAACTTAACGCCGTGATCGGCGTTTCCTTGAACAGCTACGAATGATGCTGCCATCCACACTTTGTTCAGATAACTCATGGTTTAATAGTGATTATGATTTAGATCCTTCGTAATTTGGAAACCTTTGAAAGATTTGAGAAGCTTTTTGTTTTTGTTAAATGGAAGATTTAGTTCGATTTTTGTAAGGAAGATGAAGAGAAGGTGAGGTTGGTACTTATAGCCAGAGGGGTAATGGTATGAGGGTAAAATTGTAAATTCGGAAATATCTAAAATAGCGATACCGTGCAATGGATTAGTGGGATCCAGGTTTTGGAAAGCGATACGATACGAGATGTTGAAGATTCTCGGGAGAGAATGAAAGTGGATGAGTAATGAAGGTAACAAGTGGCGGGCTTAGAGGGTCCTATCCTCAAGATGAGTCACCCTTGCTTCAATTATCGACTCCCCTATGTGGGCCCTACTGTTTTGATTTTTATTTGGAGTTAAATGTAAATTTGTCTCTTTATTTGTTTTGTTTTTATACTAAAATGAAACGATAGGTCAGCCAAAAAACCAAAATGGAACGATGGTTTTATGCGGGGGTGGGGTGAAGCCTTGAGATTAGGGTAGAGTCCCACGAGGGCTTTGGTGACGTGTATACCGCTTATTGGGTGCTCACGTGCCCTTTCACGTGATATCACTGTCCATCAAGGCTTCTTGTCCCTTTCCTTCCGGTTAATTTAGTGAGTTTTTTTATTAAAAAAAAATAGTATTGCTAAGTGCTACTATCTCTAATCCAACCAATTAGATTTCTTTTTTTTTAATCTGGAAGTGGGAGTAGTCTCTATTAACCTGCGTAGTATTATGTGAGTAGTTTAATTATCATATTCTTGAATTCTTCTGTCAATTCTAATTTGAAAACGTTTTTATTAGTGATGTGAATGAATCTTGTGATAGTTGGACTTGGCTTTGTGACGATGTGGGCCGTTCACATGTTATGCACTTATGCTAGATAAGCCATGTCTGCTTATTCTACTTCTAAGAATATGTCTATCACATTTATTCTCTTGTCAAACTATCTTATAGCCATATCTTCTTGCATTTGGCTATAACCATTCTTTTTTCCGATCTGTATATGTCAAATCTGATTCAGTCAGATAATACTATAATCACCATGACTAATAACTTTTATGGACTATATCTCAATGTCTGATCTTGATTGTATGGCTCTAATTGGTCAAGTTAAAACGCCATTTCACCTTGGGAAGAAAAGGAAATGCGTGATCAGATCATAGCTAAGCGGAATAACTGAAGAAAGCTTTCTATGAGAAAAGGGAAAAGAACATCACCTGAGACCAACAAGGCTAATAAGTAATAACAGTGAAAGGGAGAAGATAAGCAATAAAATTGGCACATTCCTCTGTGACTTCACTTGTTTTTTTGAGGCTTTCTGTGTATAACTTGAGTGGATTTGGTGTCTCTTGCAGCTTTACTTGGTCCAAGAGAAGTTCCAAATATAAGTTGACAAGAACTGCTGATCCCATGTGAAGTTCCCAATATTGAGAAGAACAGAGTGGAAAATAATTTTGCAGACAAACAACCTTCAGTGATGGGAAACAGACTGATATATCAAGAATGTGGCAGAGTTTCTTGAAGCTCAAGACGAATCCTCAAAGTTATGATTGCTAGAACTTAGAATATAAAGAACAACACTTCTTTATTAGATTTAGAAACTCTCACAAAACTAAATCTCTTCTCTAAGTCTCATAGAACATCCCTCCATGGACCCTTGTATTTATATAAACTTGGACATCTCCCAAGTCTATTAGGATTTGGTTAAACACAAACTCTATCTAGATACTTTATCATTATCTAAAACTTATTTGTGAATATCCTCTCTTATCTCTAGAAGCTTCTTCTTCTAAGAGATAACTTCTTCTTCAAGTCTTGAATTATCCAACATTCTCCCCCATAATTCCAACTTGAATTTTGGGAGTCTTGATCTCTTCAACACCGATTAGGTCCCGCATTTCCTTGAACTTGAATCTTCCCAATGGCTTGGTAAGAATGTCCGCCTTTTGGACCTCTCCGGGTACATGCTCAACTTCGATTTGTCCGTCTTCCACACATTCCCGAATAAAATGATACTTCGAAAGTATGTGCTTACTTCTCCCATGAAACACCGGATTCTTGGTCAAAGCTATAGCCGATTTATTGTCAATCCTTAGTAAGACCTTCTCGCCTTCAACGCTTAGTATCTCACTCAACAATTCTTTAAGCCAAATAGCTTGTTTCGCGGCTTCCGTAGCTGCCATGAATTCTGCTTCGCATGAGGACAATGCGACCTTAGGTTGCTTTTGCGATGTCCAAGTAATCGGTGATGAACCAAAGTAGAAAACGTGTCCCGAGGTGCTTCTTCCGTCGTCAACATCAACATTGTGACTACTATCACTATATCCGGTGATCCTCCTTGACCCGTCTCTTTTGAAAAACAAACCAAAGTTTGTTGTTCCTCTTACATACCTTAATATATGCTTGACCGCAAGCCCATGAGAATTTCTTGGACTTTGCATATACCGGCTTAGAACTCCAACAGCAAAGGAGAGATCCGGTCTTGTGTGTAGAAGGTACCTAAGACAACCAATGGTTCGTCTATACTCGGTTGCATCAATCTCTGGTTCTTCTTCCAATTTATTGATCTTTTGACTTGGATGCATTGGTGTATGAGTCAAGTTACACGATTCCATCTTAGCATCAATAAGAATTCCTTGAGCGTATCTTTCTTGCTTTATCTTTATCCCATCCACTCCTTGAATCACTTCTATGCCAAGATAATACGTTAACTTCCCTAGATCCGACATCTCGAATTTCTTTGACATATCTTCCTTGAATTTTTTGATGACTTTAAACGTGGTTCCCGTCACAAACAAATCATCCACGTAGATAGCCACAATCAAGACGTCCTTCTTGTCGTTCTTCCGATATACCGTCGGTTCCTTGATACACTTGTTGAAGCCCATCTCTCTTAAGACTTGGTCGAGTTTTACATTCCATGCTCTAGGAGCTTGTCGTAAGCCGTATAGAGCCTTGTAAAGTCGATACACTCGATCTTCCTCACCTTTCTTCACAAAACCTTCCGGTTGAGTTACGTAGACTAACTCCTTTAAGTCTCCGTTTAAGAATGCAGTTTTCACGTCAAGGTGGTGAATCTCCCAACCATTTGTTGCTGCTAAGGCTATGAGAAGGCGTATAGTTTCAAGACGTGCCACCGGAGCAAACACTTCATCAAAATCTATGCCTTGTTGTTGTACATAGCCTTTAGCTACAAGCCTTGCCTTGTATTTATTCACCGAGCCGTCCGCTTTCTTCTTGATCTTATAAATCCACTTAAGACCAATAGGTTTAACATCAACCGGTTTATCAACGAGTTCCCATGTCTTGTTCTTGAGAATTGATTCCAACTCGGCTTGCATTGCATCAATCCATTCCTTTTGATGTTCAGCTTCAAAGTAATTTTCGGGTTCTCCGTCTACCGTAAGTAGTAACCTACCACTTTCTTGTTCTGCAAGCAACACATAATCATCAAGGTAGCTAGGTTGTCTTACCGTACGGCCATATCTAGTCACTACTTGTTGATTCTCTGCTCCTTGATTCACGGCATTGTCAACATGTTCCTCTTCTTCTACCTCTTCTTCCTCGTCTTGGTCTATAGGATCTTGATCCGGATTATGGTTTTCATTGGCATGATCATCCCCATATCCATCTCCATTATCTATAATACCTCCACGAGTGAGTTTAAACATACCCGGTTCACCATTGGATTCACTTGTTGTAGATGACCAGTTCCAAGCTTTCTTTTCATCGAAGACCACGTCTCTACTAACAATTACTTTCCTTGAGACCGGGTCATAGAGTCTATAGGCTTTAGAACCCGGCTCGGTTCCAAGATTGACCACGCTCCTTGACCTTTCATCTAGCTTCTTAAGATGTGGTCCATTGATTTTAGCGTAGGCCATACAACCAAAGACTCTCAAATGTTCTATGTTCGGTTTCTTGAACGTGAAGCACTCATAAGGCGTTTGACCCTTCAAAGCCTTAGTAGGAACTCGATTAATGAGGTAAGTTGAATGACGAACAGCTTCTCCCCATAAGTGATTCGGAATCCTCATTGCCTTAAGTAAGCTTCTTGTCATCTCCATTAATGTCCGGTTTCTTCTTTCAACTACACCATTTTGTTGTGGTGTGTAAGGAGCAGTAAGATGTCTTGTTATTCCTTTTTCTTCACAAAAGGCAGTGAATTGAGCTGAGGTAAACTCTCCTCCTCTATCGGTGCGAAAAGTTTTCACGGTTAACCCGGTTTGTTTCTCCACAATTTCTTTAAACTTTTTAAACCGATCGAACGCCTCACTCTTTTCCTTTAGCAACATGGTCCACATGTACCTAGAAAAATCATCAATTAAGACGAATACATACCGGTTGTTAGCTGGTGTTGATGGTGAGATTGGCCCGCATAAGTCGCCATGAACTAGTTCCAATGCTTGTGCCGCACGGAAGCTTGTTTTTATCGGGAATGAATTTCTTGTTTGTTTTCCGGCTAAGCACACGTCACACACACTCTTTTCATGTAGAGTTCGTGGCATTCCTTCGACCATCTCCTTTTGTACCATATTATTCATGACACCAAAGCTCACATGTCCAAGTCTTGAGTGCCACTTCCATGTTTCTTCATCATCACGTAAAAGTAGACACATTGGACTGCTTATTTTCATCGGGGTTTTGTAGAGTCGGTTTGGAGATCTTGTGACTCTTACAAGCAACTTTCCACATGGATCACTTAGTGTTAACACGTCTTCTTTCATGTGTACTTCGCACCCACCTTCAGTTGCTTGTCCAAGACTCAATATGTTGTGTTTTAGCTCGGGTATGAGATAGATGTCTTTGAGAGCTCTTTTCTCTCCGGTCTTGCACACAAAGACAATCGTTCCTTTGCCAATGATATTCACACACGAGCCATCGCCAAACCTCACTTTACCTTTTACGCTCTCATCTAGGTTTGAGAAGAAATCTTTGTTCCCCGACATGTGGTTACTTGCACCGGTATCTAAATACCAAATACTCGAGTTGTTATTAGTATCATAGTTCTTAGGGATTACCTTATCTTCGTTAAGGAATACGACTTCATGGACATATAAGGCATCGGCTTCTTGTGTCTCGTTTAGGTTAGCTTCTTGGTTTTGCATTGGTTTCTCGGGACATGTCAATGCAAAGTGGCCCGCTTTGTCACATCTCCAACATATTACCTTGGAACGATCTCTTTTCGGTTTTGGTTTTTCTTCCGCAGCTGCTGCTCCTTGATCTTGGCTATTGAATCTCCCTCGACCCCTACCTCTACCAAAGCTTCCTCTGCCCCTACCAAAACCTCGTCCTCCTCTGTTTCCGTAACCTCCTCTGTTTCCGCCGTAGCCTCCGTGGCTATTGTTTGAAAACAAGAGTTTACTTTGATCCTCTCCTTGAGTCTCATCCCTTATACGCTCATCGTAAGCTTTTATTCTCCCTACTATGTCTTCAAATCCCGTTGTTTCTAAGTCTAGGACTTGCTCAAGAGAAGCTACAATTTGTATGAATTTGCCTCTAGGGAGACTTGTCAAGAACTTCTTCACCAACTTTGATTCTTCAATTGTATTTCCGAGAGAAGCAGATTGGGAAGCTATTCCTGAAATCTTTCCCGCAAAGTCATCAACCGAGTCGGTGTCTTCCATCTTCAACCGATCGAGTTGTGTCATTAGGGTTTGGAGTCTCGCCACTTTAACACGGTCTGCTCCTTGGTGACGAGATTTGATCGCAGCCCACACCAACTTCGCCGTGCCTTGTTCTCCAATTTGTAGGATGAGGCTCTCGGGGATTGATTGAAATAGAAGAGCTGTCGCTACATCGTTCTTCTTTCTGTCCGTTGATCCTGGTTCTATGGTGTCCCATACTTCGCTTACTCTTAACAAGATCTTCATCCTCATCGCCCAAACTGTATAGTTTGTTGTTGTTAACATAGGGCATTGGATCGTTGGGGCTCCAATGTCTTTTGTTCGTGTTGGAGGATCCACGTCTCCCATCTTGGATACGTGAAGCTTTGATCGTCGTCTTCGATCGGTACTCCTCCTTCAAGCTCTGATACCAATTCAAAGTTATGATTGCTAGAACTTAGAATATAAAGAACAACACTTCTTTATTAGATTTAGAAACTCTCACAAAACTAAATCTCTTCTCTAAGTCTCATAGAACATCCCTCCATGGACCCTTGTATTTATATAAACTTGGACATCTCCCAAGTCTATTAGGATTTGGTTAAACACAAACTCTATCTAGATACTTTATCATTATCTAAAACTTATTTGTGAATATCCTCTCTTATCTCTAGAAGCTTCTTCTTCTAAGAGATAACTTCTTCTTCAAGTCTTGAATTATCCAACAAATCCTACACCACATGTGTTACCACTTCCTACACCCAAACCAAGACAACGGGAAAGAGGACATATACTAAAGATGAAAAAAGACATCAAGGACAACGGTTTAAGAAGCCAAAATCAGTTGGGAATAAACCCAAATTCAGTTTGTGAAACAGTAGTGGAACCTGAAGCTTCGCAGCATATTTTATATTTCTTCGGTTTTGAGAAGAGGAAACAAGAAGAGATACTCTGAAGACTCTGGTAGAATATCAATGCTCTCTCTGAAGTAGTGTACACAATATTCATATGATACATTATTATGTAATGTCCCACAATAGAAAGACATAGTGATAAATTATTCATATGATATATAATGTCATGTCCCATAATAGAAAGAGATAGTGACAAGAATTATATAGAAAAAAAAAACAAAAGACATGACACCACCAAATACTACTCCTAGCTCTATCTCCCCTTTGAAGATGGCTACAGTGACCCCTAACACACTCACCGACACATCAGAACACACACACAAATCCACACAGAACACAACAGGTAAGAGGAGAGAACGCAAGAGCCGTTGATTCGGATGTACTTTTTCTTATTGTTTCCATCCTTCGGCCAGCAGTCACTCTGTTTCTCTCTTCAAAAAACGATCACACGAGTAATAGTATAATAGGAACAATAATAGTCTTTGACTATGTAGAAGAGTTGGTTCAGAGAACGGGGGAGAAGTTGAGGCGGGAACTGTAAGTTGCTTTGGGAGTCCAGTTTCTAGGGACAACGTCGGTGGCGGAGAGAGTTTTACCGGCAGACAAAGTGGTGAGCTTTATGGAGAATGGTCCCTTGAGTGGTCCTCCAACGATGCACCAGTTGGCTCCCCATACATGCTTCATCTCTAACCATTCCCTCGCTCCTGCCTGCACAAAACACAAGAAAGCCCATCAGTGTTTACACTTTGAGTCTGTTTTATTGTTACTTTTTAGAAGACTTTGAGTGATTTGGTGTGCCTTTTCTAGCTAGTTGGTCAATAAAAGATTCATACATGTGCTCACTCCACTGAGATTCGTTTCCTCCTTTTTCTTATTTAGTGGAGGAGTACAATAAAAAAGAAGACTTTTGAAGTGGAAGTGACTTTGTGGTAAGAAAAAAGGGAAATTAAAAAAGTGCGTGCACGAGTTTGGTTATTAATAAGGAAAAAGAGAGTTACTTGGCGAATGTGCATGGAGCCAATGTCTCCTTCTCCGTCTTCAAACTCGACCAGCAAAGATAGCCAAAAATCAGTTGATCCTTCGTTCACATGGAACGCTATGTTCTTCCCTCTATATTTGCATGCAGTCCTTTTTTTTATTATGCAAAAGAAAAAGAAAAAGTAAAATATATCAGTGAGAAAAAAAGAGATCAAATGGTCAATGGTCAAAAATGGTTGGGACCATAAAAAACGAGATCGCCGTTAAAGTTACCTCTTTTGTTTAATACATTCACACCCATTGCAATGAATCTAATAATTATCTTAACCCTGTTTAGCCTCTTACCTAAATAATTCCTACTAGTATTTTTCTATTTGCTCGTGCACTGTCACGAGTTAGTTATTGAAAAAGAGAATAATATTTATTATATACGTACCGGCGATATATGACGGGGATTAGCCCACGGTTACGGAGAGGGCCAGACTCTCCGGCAATAGCCAAGCGGCCGAAGACGGCGCCACTAAGGTCGAAGTGAGTGCTGGTTTTAGAGCAGCCGGGACACTCATCGGTGATTATGACGGTGACGGCTCTCCGTGAACAAATGCTCTTGTCCAAGCACCGAACCTTGTAACAAGCGCCGCAACCTTCACCGTTTTTGAAGAGAATAGGATTCACGGCTCCAACCCTCGCGTGTAACGGCTTCACATCCACCAACGTACCGTAACCACACGCTCCTCCTACGCAATTCCGGTACATAATTTAATATTAGTGTTTAGTTTTTAATCACTAGAGTGTGAAGTGTGGTTAATTATGTGTTATAACTTATAATTTACCGTCGCTGCCGTCGCCGTTGGGGCTTCCGTACCATGTAGCTACTGCGGGAAGCCAATGAGAGTTTGACACGTGGCGATTGGTCGTAGACAAAGCGGACGAGCCAATTAGAAGCTGCAGGACAATGCAGAGTGTAGCCAACATGACCGGAAAGAGCTGCATTTTCCGCCGGAGTTGTTTTCCCGACCAGAATCAGAGCCGGAAAAGTGAAGAAGTTACTTCGCCGACAGTGAGAGAGTGAGAGTGAGTTTTGTGTGTAATTGATAATGTCAGTGTTGTTGTTGTTATATAGACAAAAATAAAAGGTAGAAGCAAACTGCTTTCTGTGGTTCCTCTTTTTGTTTTTTTAACTTTTTTTACCGGTTTAGTCCCTTAGCCATTGGTCTTATTTACGGTGAAATGCCACTAGGAATTAGGACCCACCGACAGTTAAGGCGTCGATTTCGCACGATCCAGCGTGTCATTGTCAGAGGGACCTAAAAGGGTGTTTTGGTAATTTAAGAGATTCGACCGTTGAAATTTCCCGCAGATTCTGTGGTAGAGAAGAGGAATCCGTTAAGAGACCTGACTCAATCTCTTTATTTTTTTTTTATTTTTTTTTTTTGGGCAATCTCTTTATTTTTTCTACAAATATTTCTTCACGATATAAGTTTGTTTGTTATCTTATAGATAGAGAACAAATACTTTTAATGCACTTTAATAGAACTGTTTGTATGTATAGAGTATAGTCTATGAATAGAGAGGAGTGGATATTTTACGCAAACGAAATCTTAGTGACCAATCTCGTGTGCACAACGCATCAATCATTTCGTTAGAAAAATACATATATATGATAATGTTAACGGTTTTTGCGCCAACTTGTATGATGTAACGAACAACCACCTAAAGCTTACTAATGACAAATTAGGTTTCATATTTTGTAATTATTAACTTATGTGGGGCAATAGATAATAACTATTGGTCACTCAGGCTCGAATCTAATTAATAAAAGTGGATCCACGAATTTGATTGTTTTATCACAATGCACATGACTACTACTTTCTACTTTGTATTATACAACCCTACATTTCTGTAACGTTGCTTTCTTAAAGCCATGGAAAAAGAATTAAAATAAAGGAGATTTTTCTAGCGTCAATTACGGTTTTCTTATAAATGATCTTATATATAGAGGGACATAGTGGTATTTAAAGAGTAGTGACAAAAAATATATAAATAGACATGACTGATTTGTTTGGTCATTGGTGTGTATACACTCAAATAGTGCTTGCAAATTATTCACTTAACGATTTCGCATTCTTCGTCATTTTATCAAAAAAATTAATCATTAGATACCAGCCTGTTAGATACTAGAGAAAATTTCAGAAACGGTTCGTCATTTTTGTAGCTTTTCAATGCTCCGTATTCGTAGTATAATTAGACGATAATGGAATGTGAAAGAGTGATGTTAAAGTCAAATTTGTATAGTAGAGAATGATAACTGCTGATTCACATGAAATAAATGAATGCTATTTAATTAGGTGGGTTTTAAAAACATTCGAATCTTATCATGTTCACATCAGAATCAGATAATTCTTGTTCCCACCAAACCCTCTCTACCCTTCTTCCAATTTACACCAGATTTTGACTTTATACAATTCAACATTTGCACTAGTCTTTGATTTCAAAACAATAAACTAAATCATGTAGTAGAAGTTAGCTTCACCATTATCAGGATTGGTCATATATTCCTGTCTCTTCATAATGAGTATGTCCTCGAGCTTACAAGAGACAGATTTCTTGTCATATGTATTATAGTAAGAACTAAGAATCAAAACGAAGGTTGAACTGAAGACGATGCTCGGCTTCCTTTCTCGTTCTGTTCCGTTACAAGTCGTTAAACTTCTTACCTGGGCTCTTCTCTGTTTTGGGCCTAACAACCTATTTCAGCCCAACTTATATCCTAGTTTAGCTCCAATCGGTTAGCTACTTAAACCAGAAACGAATACTAAACCAGATGGAATTGAACCAATATTCTCACAACAAGCAACTGATCCAGTTGCAAATAGTTTTGTTGTCTAATATCGATCGCGAAACACATACACACACTGACACACACATGTAAAGCTACACATTTACATGAAAATTTGAATGCAAATCAACTTTCAAATATGATGTTAATGACTTAATAATGGTAAAAAGATTAGAAAATGATAAACTCCTCCCTATGCTCCATAATATGTTCATGTACATTTATTTATAAGTCTAAATTGAAAATGTAAAATATGTCTGTAGGCTGTAGCCTTGAAGGCCTAAACAACAAAAACAAGGTTTCGTGTGTTACAATACAAAGATATGGGGTTAAATGTCGAAGATAACTAAACTTAGGGGTTGAATGTCGAAACTAAAATAATAAGGAATTAGTTTCTCATTAATTCTTAATTAAATAAACTAATGTTGAAGTTTATCCATCTCATCGGGAGGTGGTATCTCTTTTCAGAAAATTCGAATCTCACACCTATAATAAAAACTCAGAAATAGATCTCCACCGTTCATCTAAAATCCAACGGTTAATAACTGATACACACCTGCTTTTCGTGAATACTTAAATCTAAGAATTAATTTTCACGAGTAGAGAGAGGACAAGCTTTCTACAATTTCGGTTAAAACATTTTTTCTTTCTTCTTTTAACAACAAACCACCGCTCTGAACAAATTTTCTCCGTCGTTTCTTTTCCGTTCTCCGGTCAATTCTGATTCCTCAGAGAGAGAAATTTGTGCTCGCGAGTTCCGCGTGAAATACATGGAAATGTTGGCGGCGATGGACTCGCGTTCTTCTCTCCATCTTCATCGTTCCATGTCTCGCGTTGACCTTTTTGCCGGTGTTCGAATGAAACCATCCCCTACAAGTCCTGTACCGAATACGCCTCGAATATGTGGAAGCAAACTCTGTTGATTCGACTCTTCCTCTTCCTTTTGGTAGTTCCTTGGTTTGTTTTTCCTTTGCATCTGAATTTCAAGATCCAATCGAAGCTGTGATTACCGGTAGCGTCTTGTGTAGTCTTTTTCTAGGTCAGTGATCGTTTCTTGTGAAGAATTTAGAAGATTGTGTTTCTACTTTGAAACTTCTTGGGGTTTGTTTCTACTTTGAAACTTCTTAGGGTTTTTATTGTGCGTTGGAGAATTCTGGAATTGGGGGTTTTCTTTTAGGTTTTGTTGAATCGTGAAGTTGTTTTTTCTGCTGGATCTTGAATGGCTGAGAAGAAAGAATTAGGGTTACCAAAGCCTAGTATTAATTTGAAAGAGCAGTTAGCAAGAACTACTCTGAAGAATTTGAGGTTACAAGGGCATACTTACATTGAGTTACGTGAGGATGGGAAACGTTTTGTATTCTTCTGCACTTTGTGTCTTGCTCCTTGCTACAGCGACACAATCTTGCTTGGACACTTGAATGGAAACCTTCACAAGGAGAGATTGGCATGTGCTAGGCTCACACTTCTTGGAACGAATCCTTGGCCTTTCAGTGATGGTGTCCTTTTCTTTGATACTTCAACTGGAGAAGAAGAAGAGAAAACTCCTGTTTCTGGTGGTGTAGGTGTTCCATGTGCGTTGGAGCATTGTAGTGATGATGAAAGATTTGCTATTGTCAAGTATGATAACAACAAAAAAAATGGAGATAACCAGCCTGCTGCAGTTACTGATGATGAACCTAGTCACTCTACAGATGATCTGCTAATTTCTGGTGTGCTGATCAAGGAGAGAACTCTTGATGTTGAAGCAAAGTTCATTGGTTTTGGCCGAATAGCTGCCAGGTTGTTTGAAACGAAAGGACGCACTACTTGGATTGATAAACTCTGGTGCGAGTGGTTAGGAGACGAGGGTCCTTCAGATGAGGAGAAGGCTACGATCCCAGAGCATGACTTTGCCATTGTCACATTCTCCTACTTCTACAATTTGGGTAGGCTGGGTTTGCTCGATGATCCGAGCCGTCTTCTCACATCTAGTCAGTCAGAATCAGGGAACGGTGAGGACAGTGGCAGGAAGAGAAAGAAGTCTTTCTCGGATCCAGAGGACACTAGTGAATCTCTGTGTAATCAGTATGACTCTTCTGAGGAGGTTTCTTCAGGTCATAATTCAAACTCTTCAAGAGCTCTAATAGCTGATTATGATGATAGTCTCATGAGCAAAAGAGTCGTGAAGAACAAAACGGTAAGACGGGAGCTGAGGAAGCAACAACGGATATTTTCTGAAAGAATATGTGAAGTCTGTAAACAAAAGATGCTTCCAGGGAAAGATGCGGCAGCAATACTAAACATGAAGACAGGAAATCTTGCGTGTGGCAGCAGAAACCTCCTGGGGGCGTTTCATCTATTTCACGTGTCATGTGTCGTACACTGGTTTCTCTTCTGCGAGAGTGAAATACTTGGGAACAAGATGGTGAGTGGAAAAGGAAAAAAGAGATGCACAAAGCATACTGGTCAGACTGGTGTGAAGTGGAATGAATTGGCAAACGATGTGAGCTGGCAAATATTTTCAGTGTTCTGTCCAGAATGCCAAGGCACTGGCATAAATATCGAAGGAGGTGTGATTGAGAGAGACACGTTTCCACTTTCTCAGGTATGTGTGTGATTCACTCAAATAGCGATTTTTTAACGGGTTTGAATCTAACGTACATACGTATGTGCCAATGTGGTAGACATGGAGGTTCCAGGTGAAAGTGAGTGAAGGCAGAAAAGCATGGGTGAAAAATCCGGAGAGATTGAAGAATTGCTCAACAGGTTTTCACTTTCCGCAGCAGGCTGATGAGTCGGGTCAGATTCCGGTTCAGGTAAATATTATTACTGCACCACATATCCATTTTTTATGGTCTTGTTACAACTTCTTAGTAAATAGAGAGATCAAAATGTGAATGATGCAGGAGGAGAGGGTGCAGATGATGAAACTGGTTCGTTTCTACCGAGTGGAGTTGTAATGTAGGAAACAAACTCATTTCCTCCTGTATGTAAATAAGGGCTTCGTCTCGCATTTTACAGTTCTCTGTAAATTTACATTTACTTTGTTACTATCTGATTACTTTGAAGCCCAATTTATTCTTTTGTCCCAACTTTTTATTTTCTTTCTGTCTTTAGATTTAGGACTTGAAACTGTATAGATACCGACAATAAAAATTCGAACTTCTTAAAACATACTATATCGATATAGGCAAATTAAATTAAAACTTTTGAAGTTGGAAAAATGGATCCCATGAATGAGGGATTGTCTCGTGCGGACCCGACCCATAAGACCATAACTCATCTCAGACTACTCTATGCTTTTAATGAAACCAGCTCACTCCAATCCAATCCCCTCACTTTACCAATTTTCTTTGCAACATTTTTAATGTATAAAGAGAGAGACTCGTACCAAAAAACTTGATATATTTTAAATTTTAAATTAATGTTTCTACTTCTTCTATCTAACAGTCTCATTCGATTCGCCGTTATCAATCAAATCTAGGGCCCCCTATTTTTATTTATAATAGTTTTTGTGTCTAAACGATTGTAATCCGACATAAGCAACACCAAGTGCGTCGCATTCGAATGCCACTATCATCTTTTTTGGAGCACAAATCTATTTGAGTTAAGATAAGCCTCCTTTTGTGTCCATACTCTTATCATCCCATGATATATCGAATAAAGAAGAAGCCAATTGGTGTCGTTTCTTTCTTTGGACTTTATTATGTGCTCATCATACAATTTCAACGATTCAAGACTCTTACAACATATACACACTGTTATTACATATATGCATACTCATTCCAATTGGTATATAATATACATATATATATATATATATATATATTTAGGAGAAGAGATTATAATTAGAAGAGAAGTAGACACATAAACATGAAGCAAAGTAGGAACAAGTAGACTCTGCTTAGTGACTCCTCAGCTTGCATTGCCCGCCGCCTCGACCGGACATTCGTGTCACGGTAAGGAGCCATGTTGCTCGAAGACTCTCCAAATAGTCTCCGGTATACCATTTCGCATACCACACCCATGACCGGATCAGGCATTCTATACATGTACCGTTGACTCTCCCCTTCTCCCAAACGTTGACCAACTCCTCTTAAGTCATAAACCGGACCGGATGGTCTGCTCGGTACGGTTGAACCGGACTGGTGAGTTTTCTGTCCTCGGCCGTAGATCGGAACAAGCGTAGCCTCGGAGACATCGGATTTGCATACCGGACATTTTGGTGGTTCCCTCTTACTATCGTATTGATCGACGCGTTGTCTTGAATTGTTGGAGGCATAAGTCCACTTGTGAATGCAGGGCCAACAAAACAAGTGGCCACATAAAGTCACGACCGGGTCTCGAACCTGATCCAAGCATATGTTGCAGTCGAAGTCTCCTCCAGAATCAACCAATGTTGTGTCGTTCTCATCATTCTCTATCTCCATTTTACTAAAACATACAAGACAAAAACCCATTCACTTGACCGGTTGTTGTTTATTTAATGAGATTTCACCTAAATAGTAAATACTAAAGTCTAATAATTCCAATGAGAGATTAGAAAACCAATGAGTTTTCATGGAAACAAGAAATATCATCAAACTATGCAGATCAATATAGAACTTAAAAGAATTGTGTATATACTTATCATGATCGATCTTGAATTTAAAGTTATTTTAACCCTAAAAAAAAAGAAGAAGATTAGAGAAAAAGTAAGGATCTTATTCTTTAAACAAGTTGAAGTTACGAAGACTTGACCTAATCACTTTCAGTTTCGACGCTTTGCTCTGTTTTCACTTAATCCCAAAGCACGTTATCATTTAAGAAAGAAAAAAAGCTAAATAATTAAAGAAAAGGAGTGGTTGATTAAACAAACAAGTGATAACCACTAATTACATCGGAAGGAGTTGAGTCGTATATCATCTTTTTGCGTAGGAACTCAAAAACGGTGCAGATCTACTAATTCGATGCCTTTACATAAACACACGCAACAACATATAATAAGAGTGATGATTCCAGAAAAAGAAACGTACTCTTTGGAAAGATTGCAAGTACCGATGGATCTCTTCTGTCTTTAAGCTTTGGAAACTTCAGAGAGCTTGTATTGGAACATGCGACAATGGTCAAAGAACAGAGAAAAAGATTTATTTGTGTTTAGAGAATGGGTTAAGAATATATAGATCGAGGGTGGTGCAGAAGCATGAGACCTATTATACACAATATTTTTTTTTCTTTTTTTTCTTAAGGTGTGCAAAATTAAAATCCGGACAAGTTATGATTTTATAGAGGAAGAAACGTCTACCTAATTAAAATAAGTAGAGAAAGTAATGAAACGCCATTCTTACTTTAAAAAAAAAACTTCCTAATAAGCCTCTTATCTTTATTTTATGAAAAGGTCAGCAACGGATAGCATCGTTTTTTAAAAAGTAAACAAGATAATATAAAGGACCATATTTATTCACAACTGTAAGTGTATAATTATAGTAAAATATTATTTAGTTTGAATAGAACAATATGTTGACAAAAAATGTATAAATTGGAAATGCTATATGAGTCCATGACTTTTGTAGGGGAAAAATATGAAAGTTAAAAAATTGCAAAATTCCCCCATAACTTTATCCCAATATCATATTCATAAGATAAGAATTTGGCTCTGAAAAAAAAAAGGATAAGAAGTTGGCAGTTTCTGTTTCTGGCAACGCAATAGTAGATACTGAACCAAGCTCGATGACGTGGCACTCCATGGCTGCACCGTTACACCATCAAATTCATTTTAAAACAAAAAATCCTAGTTAGTGTGAAAAATTCTGCTTAATTATTTGATTATTTTTGTACTTTACTTTTTTTTTTTTTTCAGAATTTGTAATTATTAGGTGTTGAGTGAATAACAATGGCAATTTGGTAAGTTGCTTATTCAAAGTTGGAATTGGAGAATACTAAGTTTGCGTTAATGCCTTAATTAAAGGCCTTCCTTATAAACCAATAGTTGAATTAGTTTATAGACCACAAAGATAATTAGGTTACACGTCACGGAAGCACGGAGCTATTGGTGTCACCAGACCATATTTAATTTCAAGTATATTAATTGTAGAAGGCAACCCAAAATCCACTCCTTGAAATAATAAAACACTGCCTTAAATTCGTATTTGTTGAGTCTTCACCATTATGTCTGATTTTGATTATGTAAAAATTAAAATAAGGTTGTTAGACCATTCATGTCTCCGAACCTGCGATCAATTGTAAAGTCTAATGTAAAATTAGTATTTGTAATTTGCGACTACTATATTAAAAAAATCTACTATCAGTTACAACTTCGCTTGTAATTCTCTCGAATGAACTATTTTTGATGAAAGAAATTAGACAATCATCTAAAATTAATCACCATTTTGGGTGCTTCCCATTTTCTTCACAATATTCATTAATGAAAAGCATTTTTCGATAGTAGCATTGCCAACCAATAAAATGAAAATTAACTTTTAAAAAACTATACCAACAAATGTTAAAAACAATTAGTGTGTTTAACCATCATTAGAACAAGATCTCCTCAATGTTTTAAATGTATATTTAATATGTTTGCCCAAAAATACGTATATATAGATTATTATATATATCACGTTCATGATAATGTTTTCAAATTCTCATATGAAATTATTGGAGCAAGTTGCATTTACGATCCGGAGAACTGAGCCAAGAAATGGGCGGTTCCCAATTTATTATCGATATTATTAACCAGTGGTAGTTGAACCAAAATTAATATTCATTTTCTCTATGAATATTTTGGTTACTTTGATGGTTTTTCTGAATCGATTAAAATAGTAACTAGTTATTTTGTTTTGGCATGTCACTGAATTGATGTTGTTTCTTCTAATTTATGATCCGGTATATCCGCAACATTTTTCTCTCCTCCTATAACTCTAATGGAAACAAGAAAAAAGAAAAACAAGAAACGTTAGAATTTCAAATGTGACAAAACGTCAAAAAAAATAAAGGAGGAGGAAACAGAAACATGAAGATTACTCATCATTGTTTGGTTTCTCTTCTCTCAATCCTCCTTTTGTCTGGATACGCCTTGTCTCTTCACATATCTCGTAATTAACAATTATCCAATATTTTACCCATCTTTATTAAAATATTTTTAAAATTTCTTTGAAAACATTATGGCATTTCAATGTGCAGTTGATGAATTTGAGTCACACCCAGCCACAAGCCGAGCTCTTCTTCAGGCAAGGGCAAGTAAGTAATAGAACTCCCAAAATTTAAATCATTGATGGTAACATGCTTCATTGATGATTGTTAGCTAAACTTTATAAGCAAAAGATTCAATGATTTCGTTAATGACATTTTAACAGCATGCAAAGAAGATTTTGCGGCCAAGAATTACACAATCATAACAAGTAAATGCAAAGGACCAAATTATCCGGCCAAGGTATGTTGCTCGGCCTTCAAGGACTTTGCTTGCCCATTCGCGGAAGTTCTTAACGACGAAAAGACAGATTGTGCCTCCACAATGTTCAGCTACATCAATCTCTACGGTCGTTATCCTCCTGGAATATTTGCTAACATGTGCAAAGAAGGCAAAGAAGGCCTCGATTGCACCGACGTCACCACCACCTCTTCTTCCCATGCATCGATCCCTCTAGTTTCCACACACGCTCTGCTAATCACCGTTTTCATCTTGTTTCGCCTCTTCTAAAGACTTGTAAATGTTACAATATAAAAAAAAAAAAAAAAAAAAATGTTACAATATGAGTTATATATTACATTCCATTGTTAGTTGTTTTGTGATCATAGATGTAAATGATTGATTTTTGTTTGCTGTGTCATTAAAATCATTCGTTATGATCGGTGTCGATAGCTTACAAGTCGACCTTAAGGAACTCAAGGAATCGCATGATCAAGTTCCGAGTTCGAATCCTAGGCAACGAGTATTAATATACTTGCTCTAGAACTCGTAACTAGTTTGGTTACCCAAAAAAAAAAAAAAAAAAACATTTGCTACAAATCATTAAACTAGCATTCCTAACATGTATTGTGGATCAAGAACATGTGTGTTTGGTCATTAATGGGCAGAGCTAACCTCCAAGGCTTTTAGGGTCACTAAAATATTTAGGGAAACATGAACCTCACAAATCATGCCCCTTGTCTTGGTGAAGCCAAAGTTACAATATTGAGTTGAAAAAAAAAAAACGAAACTTTAAATCAGTAATTCTTTGTGGTTAATCAGATGGGTAAACAATAAGAAACCATACAAATCAGAATAAGGCAAATGTTATCGGTGAGCAGTAACAAGCGTCTCGATGAATCGTAACCCATCAAACCTTGGAGCAAACTTTTCTTCTCCCCCTTCTTCCGACGAACTCTTCTTCTTCCTCTGTTTTTCCTTTGAATCCTAATCAAAATCACCCAACAAAAGAAAGATAATTCGTTACACATCCGAATTCATGATAACAAAACCTTTTATTCTCCTCTCCAACTTTGTAATTTGACAAATTTAACAACTTTGTTTGAGAAACTTATTGCGAGTACTTGAAACAGAGCAAAAACAGAGGAACTCTAATGCTACTGAGAAAACCCAAAAACAAGAACTTGCTTTTTTTTTTTACCTGACGAGAAATATTGGATTCCGGCGAAGAGAAGGATACAGAGGTGTTGGTGGAGCAGGCTGAGATTCCGGTGGCGGAAGCGGCGACAGAGACGGAAGCCGCGATGATTCCAGTTTTCTTCATGTCTCTCGATCTTGAAATTTCCCAAATTCGTGGACTCTTTTTATACTTTTTTTTTTGTGTTAAATAAAAAAATCTGCAACCGTAGGCAGATGAGAGAAAAATGTGGGAAAAATTGAGGTGTTTGCTTCAATAGTCGACGGTTTATATACGCAATGGGGGAAAAAAGTTAAACTTATGCTAGTTGACCAATCTATTAAATATGTGACCGTTTTGCCCTTTTTCCAGTTATATCCTAATTATGTTTTAATTGTGTTACTTACAGCTAAGATCATTGGTAATCGTTTTTTTAGAAAAATGATTCATCTTCTAGAAGAATTTTAATTGGAGTAAGAATAGGTAGCGTGAAAAATAAGAGGGTTAATATGGTCAAAGAATTAGAAAAAAAAGAAATGTACTTTGAGCCTTGAAGTTAGAACCACACAAAGAGGTACATTGATTGGTTGATCTGTTAAATGAAAATGGGTCCATCGTTGGTTGGTAAGTCACCCACGTGTCCGGGACAATGTTTCAACTATGAGTTGGTGTTAGCCCTGGGCGTTCGGTTATTCGGTTCGGTTCGGTTCGGTTATTCGGTTATTCGGTTATTCGGTTCTAGGCACTTAGGAACCATAAGAGAACCGAACTGTTTTCGGTTCGGTTCGGTTCGGTTAGCTTTCGGTTCGGTTCGGTTTGGATACTTGAGAAGAGAACCATAAGATAACCGAAATACCTTCGAATATGGTTCGGTTCGGTTCGGTTCGGATATTTATCCACCAAATAACCATACTATCCAAATATCCGAGCCATTACTCGAATAAAAAAAAGATTGTAATACTAATAATGTATGCAAATATGAACCAAAAGCTTCAAAATGCAATAATTCAAGTTGCAAATCCAAAAAATGAGAGACTTAGAGTTGAAACCGCAACAAACTAATCAAGTTCAAAAGAGAAAGAGAGAAAGAGAGAGAGAGAGATTAGAGTATAGATTATTAGATTCTACAAGCATCTTCAAGTCCTTGAGTTGATCTTCCATTCTTCTCTTCCTGTGACACAATCACACACAGTCATACACTCATACTCATACACACACTAACACATAACAATTAACAAGAATCTATTCTTACTAAATTCTAATTGTTACAATGACACTCACATAGTCACACTCACATGTGTCACACGACTGTCACTCACAAGTTACATAAAAACTCTTTCATAAGGCAGAATCAAATTAGAGAAGAGTAGAGTAGAGTGAAGAAGATTACATATGCTTGTAGGTTGTAGCTGCTTTGACACTCTCATAACCCAAACTCTGAAAATGATATAAAGATGAAGTTATGAATAATTGCAGTTACTAAAATCAATGATTGAACATGTAACATGAATAACAGAACGTACCTTTTTGAAGCTTGTCTTGTACATCAACGTCTCCTCCTAGTACATCAGATATAGTGAACAGTCCCTTATCATTTAAATGAATCGTACACTTAAGCCACTGTTCGGTGCACATTAAAACTTCTAGTGTACTATGCGTGAGACAACTCCGATAAGGGTCTAGAATACGACCACTAGTGCTAAAAGCACTCTCTGATGCAACAGAAGAAACTTGCATTGCAAGTACATCTCTAGCTATTGCAGATAATATAGGAAACTTTGGAGAATTGAGCCTCCAATAGCCAAGAACATCATATTCTGTACCCAACATCAGATTTGGATTTTCCACTGGTTCCATTAGATAAAGCTCCAACTCATTACTAGCATCATGAGTTCCTTTCTGTTGCACCATATCATTATATTCAAAGTCCATTCTTTCATAACCTTTCACCACTTCAGAATCCATCTCATTTATATCGCTTTCTTGTCCACTTTGATTCTGAGACTGAGCATGAGAATGAGAAGATGAGGTAGCTTGAGACTGCACTTGTGGACCATTGATGTTGATATTATATGCATCAAACAAACTTTTCATCACAGATGTCACTGATGCATGGATCTGTTTACCAACTACACTATCTTTACCATATAGCTTATCAAAGCTATGCTGTGCAAACTGCATTTTCTTGGTTGGATCAAAGACACTCGCAATAATCAGAAGCCTATTGATTTCCTTCACACCTTCCCAATATTTATCAAACTTATCTCTCATATTCTTGGCCTTTGTCTGCATACCTAAATCTGGACTATTACTAAGTCTAATCAGGTTCTTCTCTATGGTACAAATCTCAGAATAGCATTTATGGGCATTCAGAGAAGAAGATGCAGAAACAACTAAAGTAGAGTGATGAAAGATATGAAGAAACTGTACCAATCTGTCTATTGCAACCCAGTCAGTTGCATCTGCAGGTCCAGCTCTTGGTTGTTCTTCTTGAAATAGGATTGTACAAATTTACTCTCTCGCAGAAATAACGCCAAGGCATACACTCAACAAATGATAATGGCAATTCAGCCATCACCATCAGCTCATTAGTAGCCTCTCTAACCACTGCCTCTGAAACCTTAGCTAACTTCAAATGACCATCAGGAGTAATAGCTTGCTGTTTACCTTTGTCAGAAACCCATACCTTGTATTGCTTGCATGCTTTTGTTAGATGTCCCTGCAGATTTGATGTCCCAGAAGTTGTTTTACAACTCATAACACTACCACAGTAATGGCATTTGCATTTATTTTCATCTTTCACGAATCTTGTAAAATGCTCCCAAACACCTGATCTTGTCTGGATCTTCTTTACCGGAATTGGAGAACTAGCTTCGCTTGCTCCTGGATTTCGCTTCCTTTTCTTCCCAGTTCTGCTGTTGCTACATGGTGTCTCTTCTTCAGTCTCGCTATCTGATTCCTCAAGTCTCACATCTTCATTCTCTGCTTGATTTTGTGAAGAAACCATCTACCAAACAAACAACAAAATTGTAAGAACTAAGACAATCTCATTTAGTATTCAACAGGGTAATTAACAAAACAATAGAAACAAATACCCATCACCAAAAATCACTAGTTCCATTAATTCGAAAGAGCTCAGAGGTGAATATATGATTCAAATCCACCAGAATAAAAAGAAACAACAAATCCTAAACGACACATGACAGAAACAAAATCTCTCAAACGGAGAGATAAGACTGAACACAAAGAATCTAAGAAGGAGTAATGGAACAAAAAAACAGAGAGGAGGAATAGATAACGAACCTGAAAGCACGAAGTCGAAGATGATGAATTGATGAGGTGAATTGGTGGACACAAATTATGAATGGAGTTTGGATTTGGGGGTGAATGAAAACTAGGGTTTTGCTTTGTCTCGTCTCGAGAAAAACACGAGTGAAGAGTGAAGAGTGAAGAGAGTAATGGGTTAGGGCGTAAGTTGGGTAGAGGGATTAGGCAAATGGGCTTGGGCTTAATGGGTTGGGTAAGTAGGGTAGGGATTAGGCAATGGGTGTCCGTAAGTTGGGTAGGGAAGGCAAATGGGCTTTAGGCCTCATAAATAAATTACGTTCGGTTTAAAGTGGATATCCATGGATATCGGTTCGGTTCGGTTAATAACCGATATCCGTGGATAGTTTTAGAAGAGAACCATTCGGTTATTTTGTGACATCCGAAACCAAAACATTCGGATAGTTTCGGTTCGGTTCGGTTCGGTTTTTCGGTTTCGGTTTTTATGCCCAGGGCTAGTTGGTGTTTTGAGAATGTTAAAGTCAGCTTTATATTGGACGATTATACCCCTGTTATTTCCTATTATTACTGTTGGTATTTTATGCTCAAAAATAAGATAAGTTTTTTTTTTTTATCAAAATAAAATAAAATAAGATAAGGTTCAAAAAAAGAAATATTCATAAGATAAGGTCGAACGAAACACTAATTGACGGGGAACAATGGCATTGAACAAGTGGATCTGATTATTTGTCTCAAATGCAAATTGATGTAAAACTGATTTGTGGTTACGAAACTTAACAAGTCTCATATGGTTTTCTGGTGAGATTTCTCTGCGTCAAATTTAATGTTAACACATTTATTCTTTGATAAAGACATGACGACAATCTCTCGTTAAAATTTTAATCCTCCTCTCTCTGTATATTACGTCCGGTCACTATTATAACATAGTAAAATATTTTATTAAAACACTGACATGGTATTGGTAACAAAACATGATCGATCGTACTAAGCATCTTATGTGACGTATAGGATCCCAGATAGGTATTATATGATTAATAAAGTTTTGATTAAAGATGTATGGATACAGATGAAAGCAAAAAGTTTGCGGCTACGTTTCTTTAGGGATGGGTTCTTAATAATTAAAATTACTTTTGCAAGGACTTTATCGTTTGCGCAATCTCATAATCATGTCCACATATCTATACTTTTTCACCGGCCAAAACTTATTCGGTCCATATCCGTATCTTAACGTGCATTATTGATCATGCCGCAAGACCAAGAAGCCCACAACTTATTTTACTCTTAAATGTAGAACAATTTACGACCAAAGTGAGTGTGGAATATCTGCCCAGACACTTCAATACGTTACCAGAAAAAGATGAAACAACTCGATGAGTATTTGTTATAGTCATTGTAAGTAACCCAACACAAACGGTCATTAGTGTGAACTGGTTTCACTACAAGAACTTGTCCCAACTAACTCTAAGCAAACATGCAGAGGCTACAATACATCACCAAGCAGGGCCGGTCTTAGGTTTATTGAGGCCTAAAGCATTTTTTAAAGTGTAAGAATTATCTGAACCTGAAAAGAGAAAAATTGCTAAGTAAAAGGGTAAAAATGTTTTTTGGTTGCTTGAACCCACGACCCAGGAAGTATTCAAAGCCTACATAACCATTTGAGCTACCTGAAATTATTAGAATTATCTCCCACAAATTTAATATATAAACTGGGGCCTAAAGCACATGCTTTGGCTGCTTTATGGACGGGCCGGGCCTGTCACCAAGTTACAAATAAGCTTCGTACTCTTGGTGTAACTCCCAACTAATTATCATAACGGGTTCATGTTTCTGGTACAAGTGACAACTAAAATATGTTTTTTCCTACAAGTTTAACTGACCAATGTGACTATAAATCTCAAAAACCAGCAACAGTCAATGCATAGAAGATGCTGAGATTAGACAAGAGCAAGATGATCGGATTACACAAGACCAAGATCAAAGCCCCTCCAAACAGTTTCCTTGAGTGTAGACTGATTGCGGATTAAAGAACTCACATGTATCACACACTCCTCTAGAATAACAAATTCCACTAACTCGAGATTTCTAGTAGTATCTTAAGAAAACACCTTAAGGAAGAAACAACATCAATGTCGAAAAGCTAGTTTCTTCCACAACATTTGGCTCATTGGTGGCACTATGGATTCAAAGAGCACCAAAAACTAGAGGCCCCAAAGGATACCTATATAACAAGAGGCCCCAAAGGATATCCATATATACAATTGATACTGAATCTTTCAGTTTTATAACAAGAGGCCCCAAAGGACACCTATATAAACATCAAAAACGGTCTTTCTCATAGATATCAAGCCTACCAAAACGATGAAGTTTTGGGTTCCATTCGTTACCTATGTATTTTTCCCCCATAAAACGTCGTCGGTCTAGATTTAAGGTTGTAAAAAGCTAAAACCAAACAAACGGTGCAAAATAAAAATAATCAAAATCATTAGGGAGGAAGATTACAAATAAGAATAAAGAAAGAAGAGTAAAGTCGGTTTGGCTGTTTCCTTCTCTCTTTCATCCTTATCTCAAGTCTGAAAAAACCTCCATTTTTCTCCACTTGGACCCTTTTTTTTTTGTAAATTAAATAAAAAAAATAGAAAGAGAGAGAAAGAGAAAAAACGTTTTTCTCCTGCTTGCTTCTTCTCTTTGCTTGCGTTTTCTCAAAGGTTCGAAGAAAACGAAGAACCAAGCTTTTTTGCTTTTCTCACACGACTTTCATCTAAATCGAGATTTCCTTCTTTTGATTGTTTCTCAATCTGGTTTCCAGTCTTCGGATTCAATGGCGTCTGGATCTTCGGGTCGGGTCAACTCAGGATCTAAAGGTTTCGATTTTGGCTCCGATGATATCCTTTGCTCTTACGACGATTACACCAACCAAGACTCCTCTAATGGTCCTAACTCAGATCCTGCGATCGCTGCTACCAACTCCAACAAGGTAAACCACACTGATTTCGCCTTCCTTTTTAATTTTTTCTTTTGAGCTTTGCTCGATCGGCGATTTTGTTTGATTTTTTGGTAATCTAGGGTCTTGATTTGTGGTTTGCTCGATCAGCGATTGATCAGTGATGGAGACTTGTCGTCTTAGTTGTGAGCTTATTCAGCTAGTTAGTTTCGTCGTTATATAGTCGGCTTCTTCTTCCATTAACAGCTGACAGATCTTACTACTGATGATAATTGGCATTCACATATATACAAAAGTTCAAGTTTCTTTGTTTGTCTGAATCTGAATTTGAAACCTATGGACATCTCTGTTGTTGTATTTGTCAATATAAGTGGTCACTGAAGAGGAGCTTTGTTTTGTTGAAACGACTTGGCTATGAATCTAATACCACTTGGAACTAGAGCTTGTTCAGCTGTAATTGTTTCTTTTCTAAATTGGAAGAAAACTTCATCATTGTTTCATTTTTTTGCTTGCAGGAATTCCATAAAACCAGGATGGCAAGGTCGTCGGTTTTCCCTACAAGCTCTTACAGTCCACCTGAGGATTCTTTGAGCCAAGACCTTACTGACACTGTCGAAAGAACCATGAAGAAGTACGCAGATAACATGATGCGCTTTCTTGAAGGTATCAGTTCACGCTTGTCCCAGCTTGAGCTCTACTGCTACAACCTTGATAAGACAATTGGAGAAATGAGATCGGAGTTGACTCATGAACACGAGGAAGCGGATGTGAAGCTTAGATCTTTGGACAAACATCTTCAAGAGGTTTGCTATCCAATGTTTTAAATCCTTTTTTGTTTATTTGAGTTTGTAAAACCTTTGATCAGCAATTGACCATGTATGTTCTGTTGTAGGTGCATAGGTCTGTCCAGATTCTCAGAGACAAACAAGAGCTAGCAGATACGCAAAAAGAGCTAGCGAAGCTTCAACTTGTGCAGAAAGAGTCATCTTCTTCTTCTCACTCTCAACATGGTGAGGACCGGGTCGCCACTCCTGTTCCAGAGCCTAAGAAGAGCGAGAACACCTCAGATGCACACAACCAGCAGCTTGCACTTGCTTTGCCGCACCAAATAGCCCCACAGCCACCAGTGCAGCCACAGCCACAGCCACAGCCACAGCCACAACAACAGCAGTATTACATGCCTCCTACACAGCTTCAAAACACACCTGCACCAGTGCCCGTTCCTACTCCACCATCACAACCTCAAGCACCACCAGCGCAGAGTCAGTTCATGCCCCCACCTCCTGCTCCATCTCACCCAAGCTCAGCCCAAACTCAGTCATTCCCGCAGTACCAGCAAAACTGGCCACCCCAACCACAAGCCAGGCCACCGTCAAGTGGAGGCTACCCAACATACTTGCCTGCACCACCAAGCAACCAATCGCCAGTAGAATCGTTGCCAAGCAGCATGCAGATGCAATCACCATACTCAGGACCTCCTCAACAATCTATGCAAGGTTACGGATATGGTGCACCACCACAGGCTCCTCCTCAGCAGACAAAGATGTCTTATAGCCCCCAGACTGGCGATGGGTATCTACCCTCAGGACCTCCTCCTCCTCCTGCCGGATATGCCAATGCCATGTATGAAGGTGGGCGAATGCAATACCCACCACCTCAGCCGCAGCAGCAGCAAGCCCATTACATGCAAGGTCCACAAGGTGGTGGATACGCTCCCCAGCCGCACCAGGCAGGTGGTGGTAACACTGGAACACCACCTGTGTTGAGATCAAAATACGGTGAACTGATAGAGAAGCTAGTGAGCATGGGTTTCAGAGGAGACCATGTGATGGCCGTGATTCAGAGGATGGAAGAGAGTGGCCAACCCATCGACTTTAACGCTCTTCTCGACAGATTGAGTGGACAGTCCTCAGGAGGACCTCCCAGAGGATGGTGAAGCCATAGCCCCCTCTACTAGTGTATCTTTCACAATAAAACTGCTTCCTCCTTTCTCTCTTGCGTTTACTCTATAGAGGCCCTAGTTTTATTGGGCCCAATAGATTGGGTCAGTTGTGTATTGTTTATGGGACTCAATTTATATTTCCTTAAAAAGCCTTATTATTTGTGTATGTGTTACTTTCAATGTTCCTCTTGAACCCAAGTCTCTCTTATATCATCATGAGTTGCTTTTCTTTGCTCAATCTTGTGTGCATCGGGCAGTTTCTTTACTTCACTTTGTTTTAGATCGATTGTGAAAATTAAAAACCTGAAATGTAGCAAGCGAAATTATTTTTCTTATTTTCTATACCAATAGCGTTTCCAGTAGAAAAAAGTTTGTATATAGGAAAACTGGAGAATAAAAAAAATGTCAAAAAAAACATTTACGTGAATCCTTAAAACTAAACAAATAGAAAAAACTGCGGGAAGGAAAATTGAAGAGGCGCCAAAAAATTTATTTCAAGCAGCGCGGTTAGAGCCTCGCGCCAATAAACACACCCGCCAAAATCTCCTTCCATATAAACAACCCTAATCCCCAATCTCCATCTCTCATTCATTATCCTCCTCCAGTCCTCCATCTCTCAATTTCTCTCTCGTTTTCTGAAATTAAATCAAAAGTAAACACAATGATGACGCCGGTGAAGAAACATGTCTCCATTAGACCTGTTACTTTCTACGGAAACGGGCTTCCCCGACCTCGTTTCTTTGATAATCCTAAGTTCAACGCTTACCGTGTTGATCCTCCCGTTTCTGTGCTTGATCCGCTTCTCTCATGGGCGAGAGACGCTCACTGGTCCATGGGTGGTCTCAACTTCACTCGTCTCCGTCTCCAAGGCCGAATCGAAGGAAACGTCAACAAGCTCCGTGCTCAGCTTGAGAAATCTAGCCCTGTGAAACTCGAATCTGGAATCTCCGAGAAGAAGAAGAAGAAGAGATCTGGTTCTGAGTCTCCTCCTTCTGCTCCGATTGTGGTGAAACGAAGGAGGTATTTAGATCTGAACGATTCTGATGATGAGGAGGTTGGATCTGAAGATGAAGGTGTGGTGAGAATCAGGAGAAAACTCTCTGATGATTTTGATAGAGTTGCTGGAGAGAGTAAGGTCAAACTTGTTGAAGCCAACAAGAAATCGATTAAATCTGAATTAGTGGAGAAGACGAGATTGAAGGAGAAGAAGAAGATTGAGAAAGTGAACAAGACAAGTTCAACGAGGTCATCTCCAAGATTGGCTAAGCGTAGCTCTAGTTAGTCTCCTTAATAATTTCTCTGTAGGGTTTAGATTTGATGAGTATAGTTCATGAAAATGCTACTTTGGTTTTGGATTTGTGCTTATAAATATGAATTTATCTTTGATTACTCTTATGAACTCAGACAAAGGAACCTGAATGCATCAAAATGTTACTCATTGAGTTGATTCTTGTATACAACAAAAATGAGAATCAGATTTCACTGTAAAAAAAGACAGTTTGCATGTGATTCTCTTACTGTTTGTGAGAACAGAGTTCCTTCAACTTATGTTCCTTAAGACGACCTGTGACTTTTCCCAACCTGCAAGATTGTTCTATCATCAATTTGTATATTGAATCTTGTTCATGTGGAACAATCCCAAAGTCATCGCTGAAAGTTTCCATGCCTTCCATGAATAGCTGCCACACCAATGTGCCTGCACCTGACTTCTTTCTCTTGGCTGATTTGTAAACCACGTCAAAGATGATTCTGTAGAACTTTTCTCGTTGGGATGGTTCGTAGTCTTTGTTCAGGTTCGAGAGCCCGAACTCTGTGAAGAGAATTGGCTTCTTCAGTTCTTTAAAGCCATCTTCAATGTGAGATTGCATCCATTTCACCACAAACTTTATCTTCTCTTCAAAGGTCTGATTATGAAACCTGCCCATACAATATACATTTGTAGCAAAACAAGAAGTAAGAAACTGCTGAAAAGAATACTCCAAGAGATCAATACAATCAAATCTTGATTCACTTACCAGTGATCGGGGTAGATATGAACGGATGCAAAATCAATGTTTGAGGAATTAGAGTTTTGAACAAAGTCAGTTCCGAGCTCAGAAGCCCACTGTTCTGGATTAACTGTGAGCCGTTTCGGGCTGTTAGGACCATAGAAACCTTCCAGGCCTACTGTGAGGAGATGCTTGTCATCGATTGATTTAATGAATCCCGTCATTTCTTCTATCCAGTCCTGTTATCCCGCAAAGAAGCACATTAATATGTTTGGGAATAAGAAACAATCTGAATGATTCCAAGTGATAAGTGAAATGGAGGACTCACTTGTAGAGTTTTGCCAGAGACATCAGTCGTACATCGAGGCTCGTTTATCAACTCCCAAGCGAAAATCGTAGGGTCGTTTCTGTACTCTATTCCAGTTACCGAGTTCTTCCTGGTGAGCAGAACCTGCGAATTAGTAAATAAAAATTCAACCTTTACCCTTTAGGCTTGCTCTCACTATCACTCAAATGATCTAATGTTCAATCATAATCAGCAAGAGACCATTACCTTGAGATAATTCTTGAAGTAGTTCCGGATAGATGGGTCAAAGAAGAAGGAATCATTGGAAGAACTGACACCAACACCTTCTTGCCATGCCCAGTTCACATACTGTGTCTTCCCTCCATAAGCTTGCAAGTTGTTCACTAAGCTAAGCAGCAATCTAACATCATGCTTTCTAGCTTCTGCAATTACATGATCCAAAGCCTAACCAACATTATACAAATTCCATTAAACAAGAACAGAGAGAAATCACCACAGAACTAAATTCATAGAATAGAGAAGAAGAATCAAAACCTGAAAGACTCGCTCGTCGAATCGGCCAGGAGAGATCTGAAGAGCATTATAGCCACCGTCATTGAAAGCCCAAGTTCTACAAACAGTGAGACCCATTTTAGCTCCAGCTTCAAGCATTTCACCGACAAGGTTTCTGCTATGTTCATCAACCGCATGGTCCATGAACCAATACGAGTTCCACCCATTCACATAAAGAGGCTTATCATCCACCACAAACTGAGTTCCGTTCCTTTTCACAAACCCTAACTTTGCTTTCCCTTTGTGATTCAACCACAAATCCCGAAATGATAAATAGATGAAAGCTGCACATATAAAAAACCCTAGAATTCGTAGCATTGGCCTGTTCCTTGTGGGAACCATGCTTCTGCTACCTCCTGCTTCACACACACACAAATTTCAAACCCAGAATTGGAGAAACAGCCCTATTTTAGTCGGTGCCTACCCAGAAGAAAAAGTCTGTGCCTCGTTCGGTGAATTTCTCTGAAATCCAAACTTTTTATAAAACCCAGACGGAAAAATCAATCCTTTATAGAAAATTAACAAAGCTTTGAAAAATGGCTCTCTTAGGCAAACAAGAGAGATACGATTACGAGCAATGCAGAAGAAATTGAATAATTGAAAAACCACTGACACAGATCTATGTATCTTTGTATTTATATTAGTTTAATAGTTTCACTGTATCTCAAGCTTAAAGGACCCAAATTACTATATTTTTTTATTAATTATAATTTTCTTTTGTGAAAGAAGAAAAGAGCTTTTTGTATCTTACCTCGTAAATAGACGTGTCAATTAGGGCCAAAGCCCACGGGCTAGCCCGGCCCAGCCCTTAAAAACAGCGGGCTCGGGCTTCAAAATATATGTCCAGAAAAAAATCGGGCCTTTCGGGCTAAGCCCGTTCGGGCCAAAGGGTTTTTTGGGCTTAGCCCGGCCGGGCTCGGGCTAGCCCGAAAAGCCCTTTAAAAAATATTTGATCTTTTTTTTGTTAATATTTTTGTTTAATTGTAAGATTTGTTGTAAAAAAAAAATTTGATAGAGTTGAAAACCCTAAACATAGTTTTTTTGTTATGTATTACTATACATCGAAAAAGCAAATATTAGCTCTACTACCTAATTTGAATTATTTTGATTTTATATTTTATCTAGTTTATACATCGAAAAAGCAAATATTAGCAAGTTTAAACAATTTATTTGGATTATTTATTTGATTTTAACTCTCTTTTTAAAAAACTAAATTAGCGTTAGTGGTTATTTAAATTTTGATTGACTCGTTTCATATATAGATTCTTTTTTAAGAGATATTATAAATTATAAGTTTGTTTTTTGTTGTCGGGAAAAAAGCCCAAAAAAGCCCGGAAAAGCCCTGTAGCCCTGTTAGGGCCGGGCCGGGCTTTAAAATATAGGCTCGGAATTTTTACGGGCCGGGCCGGGCCGGGCTCAAATATGTACGGGTTTTGCGGGCTTCGGGCCGGGCCGGGCCGGGCTAGCCCAATTGACATGCCTACTCGTAAAGGGACAAGGCATAATGTGATGTTTTCTTATTTTACAAAAGTTACGATTTTATACTCTATTTCGTAAGTTGAAATTACTTATAAAATATCTTCATAGAAATTTGATATTTGAATTGTTGATGTATATAAAATAAATGGTTGAAGAGAAAAAAGAACAAAACTTGACCCACAAAAGAAGAGGAAAAGCACAGAAATTAACCTGGTATTTAGACATATAGAACTGAAAGAGACTAATATGTTGTTGGAAACTTTAAAAGAAGGAATTTAATTTTGATGAGTACACAGGAAAAATATACATTTGAATCTCTTAGGAAAAAAATAAACAGGGCCACATGCGTTGGAGTGTCATCAACTTCAGATATTTGAGAAAAAATGTTTATTGTTCAATCATGTGAGTCCTTTAATACCAACTCGTTTACAATATACAAAAGTTAATTCTGAGAAGAAAAAACAAATCAAATTATTACATTTACATAGAAAATATTTAGCTTCCGCATAAAGTCAACATATTCAGTAGCATATATATTTTTTTCCCTCTTGAAAATCACTTTGAGGTGTTCTCCACGTTGTTAATTGTTATGATGATAAAAATGCATAGATAGGCTTGACAATTACATTTGTGGTAAGATTCTTTTTATCCTTGTTGTTTAGCCAAAATTATATAAATTACCATGCTAAAATATGTGAACCTGTACATCACAGTCGTCTCCGTTTTGTATTTTTCTAATGTTTTGTTAAGTTCTTAGAATATTGGGTAACAGTACTATATATTTTCTCTGTCGACATTAGAAAACTTGATGCGTGTAGTAAATACAATAGTAATAAATAAATAAAAGACAGAAGTAAAATACTTTGAATGCTGTCGGTGACTGCTTTTCTTAACCAGTTAACACCCAAAGAGTTATTTTAATACTATGGAACAATGTATTAAGTTTTTTGGATATTTTGGAAATAGCTATCTTTTTATAATGCAAAGTGCAAAGTTAGTTATTAGCCATCTAAGATCTTGCAATCAAATTAGTGTAAAGGAAAAAAAAAGGAGATAAAAGATACCTAACTGCTAATTTTGGACCATAATCATTTTATCTAGTACTATATCTAAAGGAGAAACATTCAAACAGACCAATTATTCTTTTGAACCATGATTTACTACCACCAACCAACCAATGGCATTCAATAATATTTGAAGACAAACAAATCAAAGTAAACATACTAAAAGATATTTGAAGATTATACTCAATGCACATCACAAGATTCAAGAGCATTGAACGTATATGTGTATTTTTTGTCAAATATGCATAATTATTTCTTTGAATTATCTTATAAACTATGCATTGACTTGGATTGAGCACCTTCTTACACTTGTTATCAATGCTACATTATGAAGAATAGGTGCAACTCATCACCTTTTAAGCTTTTACCGAACCACTTCAGCTTGGACCATACCTAATCACATGCACTTCCTCCTTCAAACACAATTTATCTTCTTCTTTGTCGTCACATTGTATATGTTTCATAATTACTAGGCTGTTATCATCTTACTAGGCTATTTACAATTTTTAGATACTGTATTTAACGTGTTTTCACTAAAACAGTTTTCCATCATTCACGGAAAATGGGCCATTAATGGTAATCCGTAAGCTCAAATGGGCCTTCAAACCCATATTCAGAAGCTCTTCAACGGACAGAGACAGAGAATGACCGACAAACAGAGAGACCAAAAGAAGAATCTGTGTTCTCTCAAAGAAATAAACAAAAGAAGTGTCAATTACTTCACGTGTCGGTATTGTGACGTGGAAGCATTCTATCTGACATCATCAGAAATAAACACATCAATCCAACAAAGAAGATCGATATTTTCAGATTCAAGAAATCAAATCTTCTTAAACTAAAGGACATAATTAATGAGGAAAGATTTTCGATATATTAGTTGTGAATGTTTTCGTTAATGAAAAAAATGCAAAAATCGAATCAAGAAGATGAAGAGTACGAGTTAAAGAAGACAAAGTAAGCAAGAAGAGCACAAAGAAGAGCCACAAAGTTTCCTTCTTTAAGAAGAACCCTAAACACAAAACCAGCGATCTCTTTCGTCACTTTCCTTCCTTCAATCACCACTCTCTTCCTCGATTTTCCGGCGAACGCCATCGTCACCACCACCGATATCCAAATCACCACGATCGCCGGCACAGCTATGAACAGCGCCGCCGCCATAGACAGAACTCCGAACACCGCACCAAGAAGCACCGACGCGTAAATCGCAGGCAAACCAGATGATGTCTGATGATTCTCTCCGTACCAATTCACTATCGAATTCAACGAATTCCATGAAGAAGACAAAAGGATCGCGTAGACTACAAGAAACAGACAAGCCCATGTTCTTCTCTTGCTTATAACACTCAAAAACAGCTTGTACGAGGTCATGGTCTCTTGTTCTTCCTTGTCAGCCATATTTGAACACCAGATCTGATTTTATGATTCTGTGTCTGGTTTGGTAAAGTTATGGTAAATAGTAAAAGACCCTTGTTTTTGTCTAAGCTTCTTCTTCTTCTGATTCCTTTTTTTGGGGTGAGTGTTTGCGGTGAAGAATTGTGAGAAAAGGAAAGTGATCGTACGTTCTTTTTAGTTTATACTTCAGCCTAGTCGAATCTAATGTAACGTGAAAAACACGCTCTTGCTGATTAGGCAGTGCTTGTCACGTGCCTTTTTTCTTAGCGGTCCAGTTAAAGTCTTTGCCTTTTCCTGCAAACTGACAGTTGGAGAGCTCTGTTTCCATTTTTCTCTTTTTTCACTTTTGGGCTCATCTCCCAAAACGCACCGTTTCGTAAACCAAAGTGATTAGTGATTGATTAGTAATACTTGCAATGTTGCACACTGAAATAAGAGAATATCAAATCCAATGAACCTACCAAGAAAGTAGTTAGTAGTTACTGTTAGGCCTTTGACATGATGATTCTAGGATTAATATATACTAGGTCCTAATTAATACTATGATGCTTACAGCTAACGAATAATTTGAGGTATGTTTGAAAAAATTGAAGAGGAGAATCAGAAGAAGATGAATATTTGACATGTCAAGACTGACTTCTTTGACCAATAAGTTCATCATCATCATTCACACCATAAATGTGGACAGCAAAATACCAAGTCCAATTTCACCATTAATTCCAAGTTGCTCGGATCAAGAAAAATACAAAAAACAAAATTCCAAATGCTTAGGAAAATAAATAATTGAAATTCTTAAGCGATCAAATTATCACAGCGGATATTATTTTGTCCACATTTGTTATTCAAATAGATTTCAAACACATAATGAGCATTTACTCATTAAACAACATTATCTCCTTAATAATTTTGACTCTGGTTTCAGACAATATATTTGAATAATCGGTTCTTTGAATCGAAACCAAACCAATAAAATCTCTTTTGACAAAGCTGTTCTTCTTTTCTTCTTCTTCTTCTTCCGATAAAACTTCACATCGACACACTTCTGCACAAAAATTTTCTCTCTCACCATGTTCTCTAAAGTTTCCAATTTTATCTTTTTCGTCACATCCATACTGTTGTTCCGATCAACTACATGCGTCGAATTCATCTACAACTCCAATTTCACCACCACCAACACACTTCTCCTCGGCAACGCCACCGTTAATTCTCCACCATCGATCCTCACCCTCACCAACCAAACCACTTTCTCCATCGGACGTGGCCTCTACCCTTCAAGAATCAACGCCTCCTCCTCTACCTCGCCGTTACCTTTCGCCACATCATTCATCTTCTCCATGGCTCCTTTCAAAAGCCTCTCTCCTGGCCATGGCTTCGCCTTCGTCTTCCTCCCTTTCTCCGAAACCTCCGCCGCTAGCTCATCTCAGCATCTCGGCCTCTTCAACTTCACCAATAACGGCGACCCCAACAGCCGAATCTTCGCCGTGGAATTTGATGTTTTCCCTAACCAAGAGTTCAACGACATCAACGGCAACCACGTCGGCGTCGACGTCAATTCCCTCACTTCCGTTGCATCTGAAACTGCAGGTTTCTATGGAGGCAGAGACGGCGAGAGATTCACGGAGCTGAGGCTTAACAGTGGCGAGAATTATCAGGCGTGGATTGAGTTTAATGGGTCAGCGATCAATGTCACGATGGCTAGAGCTGGCTCTAGAAAGCCCATAAGACCACTCATAAGCATTCCATTGAATCTCACTGGAGTTTTACTTGATGATATGTTTGTTGGATTCACTGCATCCACAGGACAACTAGTGCAGAGCCATAGGATTCTGTCATGGAGTTTTAGCAACTCCAATTTCTCCATCGGCGATGCTTTGATTACTAGCAATCTTCCTTCGTTTAAATTGTCAGGTGACTCTGTTTTAAAGTCTAAAGGTTTCATTGCTGGGGTTTCTAGTGGTGTTGTGTTATTAGTCTTTGTTATTGGGCTCCTCTGTTTCTACGTTGTGAGGTGGCGAAGGCAGAGACTAGACGGAGACGTGGAAGATTGGGAAACAGAGTATTGGCCTCACAGAGTGCAATACAAAGACGTTTTGGAAGCCACGAAAGGGTTTTCGGAAGAGAAGATGATCGGATACGGAGGGAATTCTAAGGTGTATAGAGGAGTGTTGGAAGGTAAAGAAGTGGCGGTTAAGAGAATAATGATGAGTCCTCGAGAGAGCGTTGGCGCGACGAGTGAGTTCTTGGCCGAGGTCTCGAGCTTAGGGAGGTTAAGGCACAAGAATATAGTTGGACTAAAAGGTTGGTCCAAGAAAGGAGGAGAGAGTCTGATATTGATTTACGAATATATGGAGAATGGAAGTGTCGATAAGCGGATATTTAATTGCGATGAGATGTTGAATTGGGAGGAAAGAATGAGAGTGATAAGAGACCTAGCCTCAGGGATGTTGTATCTACACGAAGGGTGGGAGTCAAAGGTGTTACATAGAGACATAAAGTCAAGCAATGTGTTGCTTGACAAGGATATGAACGCGAGGGTAGGTGATTTCGGGCTGGCTAAGTTGCAGAACACTAGTAAAGAAATGGTTAGCACGACACATGTGGTTGGAACAGCGGGTTATATGGCGCCTGAGCTGGTTAAGACAGGGAGAGCATCAGCGCAGACCGATGTGTATAGCTTTGGAGTGTTTGTGTTGGAGGTAGTGTGTGGAAGGAGGCCAATAGAGGAAGGAAGAGAAGGGATAGTGGAATGGATATGGGGACTAATGGAGAAAGACAAATTGGTTGATGGTTTAGACGAGAGAATAAAGGCGAGAGGAAGGTTTGAGACCGAGGAAGTAGAGATGGCTCTGAGAATAGGACTGTTGTGTGTGCATCCTGATCCGAGGGTGCGTCCAAATATGAGACAGGTGGTGCAGATATTAGAACAAGGGAGATTAGTGGAGGATGGTGGTGAGAGGGAAATGAGCTTGTTGGAGAGAGTGAAGAGCTCTTACTTGTTGGAAACTGGTGAGGGAAGCAGACAACAACATCCCACGTTCCAAGATGTATGGAACTCGTCTTCTTATTCTAATTCCTTCCAAAGTTATGATTCTATTCTTCATGGAAGGTGAGAAACTAGCGTGAGAGTTATTCCTTTTTAACGAATTTCTATACTATATAATTTATACATGTTGTGTGATTCTTTTGTATATAAGATTGTATGAATTTGAGTAAATTGCATGAATCATTTTTGTTTGAGGCTGTAGCTATTTCTACATTGAGAATGATTTGGATGTTGTAGTGTCATTTAATATGCTGCCATATATACTCCTTTTATTGTACCGTTAAACCAAGAAATCATAATTTAATATTTTAGTGTTTTTTTTTTCTCTAACATCGAATATAATGATACTGCATTAGACTCCGTCCGATAACTTAATAAAATGGTGTTTGACAAAAAAAAAAATGATACTGCATTAGATAACATCAAATACAAAATAATAATCTTGGATTACATAAGAAAACTATATTAGGAACAAAAGTGTATGGAATGAAAATCACAGTCACCTTGCATCCTTTATTTGTCAAAATATATGTTGCTCTATTCTGATTTTTTTTCCATAAAATAATTAAAATTAACAAAAAAAAAAACAAAAAAAATCTGTACATAGCAACATATATTTTTATCCAAGTGATTTAGTCCATGAGATGAACATATCTGAGAAAAAGATTCTTCTAATGTTTAATCGAACTAATTTGGTTTAATGTGAAAATTCTCAAGTAGATTTTGTGATACTACTCTAATTACATGAGTAATTTCCTTACAAATTGCAGAAATATGTTTGATTTTATCTAGCAACGCACAATTGGTGCGTTGGGTTTGATTAGAAATATCTGACGCAAGTTTCTAAGATTTTTTTCTTGTTCATGCCGATTTATTATGTGAATGGCCGAGAAAGTGGAAAGATCATATTAAGCATATATATATATATATATATATATATATATATATATATATATATATTTTATTTGTATTTGGTCTATCTAATTTTCTGACTAACGAAATGACCGAACAATTTTCGACCAAATTACGATGAAAACTTGAGATGATTAGTATTTAATCAACAGTTTTAGACGAGCATATTTGTTTGAAACTTTGGATCTTCCAATTCAATCCTAAAGACGTTTGGATCTTCCAAGTTGTCACTACATCTTATTGGTTAATTCTTTATTCACCAGGTACTCTAGTGGACGGACAGCTTGTACCACAATACCCAGACGTGCCATAAGGCTTTCCTAATGCTGCTATTCTCAATCAGGTGCTAAAGGAGTTGAGAGCGCAAAATCAAAGTAGTCATGTAAATATCTATACAGGTACTGAAAAGTCTAAATATGCGTCTTTAGTTTGGGCTCTGCTAGTTGCAATTGCTATGATGTGATCGAAATATTTATGATTAAAATTCAAGGTGTGTTCGCATTCTTTATTTATTTATGACTTTCATATAATGTTATTAGCCTATTAAATTTGAAAAACGGCAATGAGATTAGACTTTTCTGATATAATTAAGTGTGAATCAATTAAAATAAAATTGTACTACATTTGTATCATATTTTATTTTTATATACCTGTTTTACCTGTATATCTCTTGACCGCCTTAAATGGTTAAATACCATTATTTTATATCTTTACCAATGAATATCTACTAAAATAAATGGTTGCAAGAAAAAGTAAACAAACTATTGAACTTTGTAATATAAAAGTTCAATTATAGATTGATAGATATAACAGATAAATATGTTGATAAGTGATTATTAAAATAGAATAATTAACTAATAATAACAAGTACAGTACTGTTTTCAAAAAAATAAAAACTGATAAGCGATCTTTTTATAAAAGTATGCTAAGTAATTATTTTCAACCAAAATAACAAGAGTAATTTTTTTTTTTTCAATAAAAGATTACTTTGGTAGTACATCTTTGCTAGGGACAAAGAACATTGCGCCATGAAAACGTATAATAATTCTCTCAATTAGACGGAAATATTGAAGAAGCCGTCTTAGCTCAGTGGTAGAGCGCGTGGCTTTTAACCACGTGGCCGTGGGTTCGATCCCCACAGACGGCGATTTTGTTGTTTTTTTCCTAATATCCTTCCTATACGATTTTCTTTTTATCCAAGAAACATTCTCAGCGTGTTTTATACCTTTTTGGTAGTCCAAACACAAAACTCAAAAGACATCAAAACTTCACAGATAACCAAGTGCAATGCATAACTCAAAATCCAATATTTTTTGAATAAAGTAATTAAACACATAGACATTGATTGTTTGCGACGTGGTTCTTGAGTAGTTTGAAGCTTGTTTGATGAAGACTCTATAGAACTAATCAACTCGATCGTTGATGTTTTTACAAAATCTCTCCATTCCTATCAATTCAAACACATTTTGTTAATTTGTGTCATTTTCTAACATTTAATTTATTTCCAGGATCGGGGAGTCCTTGACATATTCTCTATTGGATTTCGGTGTACCGGTTTAATTTATTGATTAAGTTAAATTGTACAAACCAGAAACATGGTTTAGTATCTCGGTTTGGTTGTTACTTCCTCTAAGTAACGATTTAAAAAAAAAAGGTATATATATCAACTTGTGAACCGGTAACAATGTGTAATGACACTACAAGTCTACAACCTCGTTTGTATGGTTTAGCCTTTTTGCCCCGTCCACAACTATAATAGGAACGACCACGTCGTTTACACGGTACATTGTTCTTTTTCAACGCACCATAGCTAATATATCTTGCGGCTTTTAAAATCATGCGGCTCAATTCAAACCCTGCTATAGTTCTCTCCCACTGCCGATGCAAATCCTGAAGTCGCAGATCACTTTCTTAGCTTTAAACAGCACCGGAGCTGCGGCCACTGGGATGATCACAGCGATAATTAAGAGCTTGATGTAATTCATCATCGAGATCGATAAGTCGTAGAGAAAATGATGATTAATTACTGATTTGGGATTTATAAACTGGTTTTGAGTGGTATTAGATCATCCATATTGGGAGGTGCTTAACTTGGTTCTTAGCTCAAAAGAGATTAAAATTAAAGGTTTAATTGATGATTTTGCTAAGGAATGACTCTTAGCTAAGAGTCAAAAATTGGGCTAAGAACCAAAAAAATTACTAAGAACCAAAACTAAGCACCTCCCAATAATGTTGCTCTTATTAGATCTGTAGTTTGCCCGGTTCTTACTCCATAACTTGGTCAATGGTTACCTTGGTAAAATTTTAGAGCTTTATTGATTATTGTTTGTGTAGAAGTTTTATTTTATCATATATCATAATTGTTCACTAAGAATAGCACTGAACTTGGACGCTCACTGCTTGATTTATAGCATGTAACTCGCATAATTAAGCGGCCTAACAATTAATTCATTTCTTCCATATATAAAAAAGTGTATTCAAATAAGATCTATTTATATATATGTTTCAACAAGATTTTAGAATGGAGAAGTTTTGCATGAGCTAGCTATGTGAATACTACATATACGTTGTATACACATTAGCATGATCAAAATTAAAACACAAATTAATTAAAAACATTCGCATCTAATTAATACAAAATATCTAGTTAAATATTTTCTTTAGTAACAACAAAAACGAGAAATCGGAAACATAAAAAATGCTTACAAGATGCTTCAAACATACAAATAAAATGGCACATAAATATGAAACTCATCAATGGTAGAGGAATCAATACACCTCACAAATTTAATGACTAGCGACAATATATTAACCCCTCAAAACATAGAACTTATCATAATCACAAGAACCACCATCCCCGGACCAACCAAACCGGCCGAATTGCGAGCTGAAGCCGGCCCTGGAGCTGGAGCATGAGCATTTGATACAGATGATGGTTCTACTCCTGGAGAAGGCACAGGCGAAGACAAATCCTGATGGACCGGAGACAGTGACGGTGACGGAGACGAGGAGGGAGAGGTATGACGAGGAGAGTGGCTGTGGTGGACGGTGGACAAGACCTTGACGGCTAGCTTCTGACCTTTAAGACAGTTTTGAGAGTTGCCACTAATAAAAAAGAAGGAACCGGAGTGGCTAAGTAGAAAGAGAGAGTCTCCGTCTGAGAGGGAAGTCAGGGGATGTGTCGTGTTGCATGTGTTGTACTCTTGTTCACTCACCTCCAACACTGAATCTTTTCCCTTCGCGTACTTAAAATCTTGTAAAAATCAAAACTATAATGCATAAATATTGACACATTGTATAGATAGATATAGAAGAGAAGAGGAAGGAGACTTACGAAGAGTGTCGTTGACTTGAAACCGGTTTCGGTGAGACCAATGAGAATAATCTTCGGAAGGAGTAGGGACCCAACCATCTTTCCCACCAACATAGAAATTGTATCCATTTGATATCGTAAACCCCAAACCCATCAACATCACAAACATAAGGTAAAGATCAAACCTCATGACCAAACCCATCTCCGATCCAAAACGTTAATCAAACCTCAACTTCTTACTAACTCTCTTTGATTGTGTGTGTGTGTGTGTGTCTGTTTGCAACTTCAAGAGGCGTTTATTTATGGTGAAAGTAAAGAAAACATAGCCGTTAGGTCAAGTTTTTTTGGCTGTGCATCGATTACCTAGAGAAATGCAATTAAGTAGAAGCGTTTTGGTTTTGCTCCTGTCCTCTTTTTAACACGTCTCGACATGCAATGGACTTAACGGCTATCTAACTTTAATTTTTTTACTTTCTTTCTCACAAACAAACATTTTTCACTCAGATTCTTTAGCCATCAAATATTAAAATACAAATCCTTTAGTATTTATTATTATTTAAACCTTTTAATTTTTTTTTTGGCAGCATCATTTAAAAATTTTAATTTATAAAATGATAAATATTTCCGAATAATACAATAATAAAGTCTTAGTGGGCTTTTTTTAAATGGATCGAGTACGTTGTAAGAGAGGCTTTACACCTTTTCTCCTCTACCTTTAAAGCCCAACTAATAGTAGAAGAACGAATCCATTTCTGATTTCTTCTCCTAATGAGAAATTAGTAAATTTTACACACTTTCTCCACTACTTTTAAAAGCTCAACTAGTTGGACAAATATTAGAAGAATTTTACTTTCTATAATGAGAAATTAGGGTGAAGGATCTAATTAATATTTGATTGATGATCGTTCCTAAACTGTGAGATAGAAAATAAAATTTCTACTTATGTTTTAATCCAAACAA